ACCCAGTCCCTTCTCCCCAACACCAGACCATATTTACGACCCCTCCCCCCACTGCCTAGTACGACACTATATGCCCCCCCCCCACCTGTTAAACGCTGACGTACTAATCAGGCATGAGTCGGATTTTCTCACCCCAACCACGTGTTCAAGTTGACGCCATCTTGTTTTTTTTTTGTTGATGATTAGTTGTGAGTTGTTTCCCGTGAGCGAGTTATTATTTATAGATGTCTGCTTGGTGTATCCCCGGTAACAGTCGTGTGATGGGGGGGGGGGAGGTGGTCCTCTGATGACTGGTGGTGTGTTTAATGGTGTATCAATTATTGCTGGGCGTAAAGGTCATCGAGTACAGTATAGTTCTAGAACAGTCTGTACAACTAGCCTGCTGGTATAAATACACATTCGCATATTGATACGCATACATTAATCATGGCGTGGATCCGCAGAGCGTATACAACAAACAACAACTCTACAACAACCCTCACATCGACCTACACAACGACCCACACATAAACGAACCCTCACGTTCTAGACACTTATCACAGAACTATCATACAGCAGTAGATACACGCCCTATGACAGGACCAGATTTAACAAAGCAGACTTTCGAGGAACAAATCAAACTGAACTGACATTCGCTGGAGTAAATCAAACTCGGCTAAACTTCAGGGAACAGAGTCTACATTTTGTGGGTATTTAATGTGGTACTTACCCCCCACCCCCACCCTACCCTCTAGTTACTTAAGGTAATGTAAATCTAAAGTTACAATTTTTATATTTTGCTACTCAAAGTTGGTGAAGACAGAAAATATTTCACCAAACGTCGAAGATTCAATAACTGACCTTTGACCTATCCTAGAGGGACAGTTCAAACCCACGTGATCGACAACACGTTTTGTAAACATCCGGTGCTAGGTAAGCGAGACCGGATGTGAGACATGATCGGGTCGGCGTTAATCTAGCTCGGGAGTGTGGCTTTAATCTGTCCACTACCTTAATCCGTCAGATAAACCAATAGGTCAGACATTAAACATGGCATTTGATATGTCAGACATTAAACATGACATTTGAGATGTCAGACATTAAACATGACATTTGATATGTCACACATTAAAGATGGCATTTGATGTGTCAGACATTAAAGATGACATTTGATGTCAGACATTAAACATGACATTTGATATGTCACACATTAAACATGACATTTGATATGTCAGACATTAAACATGGCTGATAATGTCACACATTAAACATGACATTTGATGTCACACATTAAACATGACATTTGATATGTCAGACATTAAACATGACATTTGAGATGTCAGATATTTAACATGACATGTGGCACCACGACACCTGTAGATTCCAGTCCTACGTCTTGTGATGTCATACAGGTGTATAGAGCGCCTGAGTAACCTGAGGTGGCCTTAAGATTTTTTACCTGTAGCATCTCCAGGTTGTAGACCGGCTCAGATCTTACCTGTCTGCCATCTGGCTAGACCAGGTGCGTTGATAGACGGCAGTCATCACATGACCTGCCCCCCCCCCCTACCCCCCACTCCAGACGGACGAAAGCCAAGCACCAGCATTATGACGGGCATAAAGTAATTATTATGGCTTTTTATTTATAGGCAGTTAAGTTTTAACAGCGCGTCCTATTAGCTACAATATATTTTGGGACTTTTGGGTAAGGTTCTCTGTGAGATTTTTTTTCAGTCATCTTTTTGGGTTGATACAGCCCCTATACATGGTCTTTTTGATACAGCCACTATACTTGGTCATCTTGATACAGCCACTATACATGGTCATCTTGATACAGCCCCTATATATGGTCTTGTGTATGGTGGCACATGTTTGATTGGTTATATCAGAATGTTGGCCCAGAAAATATATCAGTATATTGACCCAGATAATATATCGTATGTTGGCCAACTTCTATCAGTATGTTGAAACTGCATCGTTGAGTAGAACCTCCACAAATCTCGCGTGACCCCACCCCACGTGATCCAACCCACGTGATCCGACCCCACGTGATCCCACCCCACGTGATCTCACCCCACGTGATCCGACCGCACGTGATCCACCCCACGCGAACTGACCCCACGTGATCTGACCAAGCGTGATCCAACCCACGTGATCCGACCCCCACGTGATCCAACCCCCACGTGATCCGACCCCACGTGATCCGACCCCACGTGATCCGACCCCACGTGATCCGACCCCACGTGATCGGGCTACATGTGAGCAGATCCCAGCTGATTCCATCACAGGTAAATTGTTTATGACCTAACAAGCGACAGGTGTAAAACCAGTGCTGGGATTGTGTACTCAACTTCAAGCCCACCTAGACATTTCCGGTACTGGCAAACCGGAAGTGACCTTATCTACAAAATGTAATTTTAAACTTGTTAAATTAGTTAGATCTAATTTGCCTAAGGAAATTCTAATTTGTAACAGCTACTATGGACATCATTATTTAAAGTATATTTCATTTATATAATCCTTTAGCGAACATCAATTATGTTTAATTAGTTGGTGTGTGGACCCCTAGAATATATGGTGGTCCAACGGTCCATATAGTGAGTAGTTATCGCCTTTCTAACTGTTCTTAAGTTGTATGGCTATCGGCCTTTGTAACAGTCCATATCGTTGGTGGTTATCAGCCTTTGTAACGGTCCATATAGTGGGTGGTTATCGGCCTTTGTAACAGTCCATATAGTGGGTGGTTATCAGCCTTTGTAAAGGTCCATATCGTGGGTGGTTATCGGCCTTTGTAAAGGTCCATATCGTGGGTGGTTATCAGCCTTTGTAACGGTCCATATAGTGGGTGGTTATCGGCCTTTGTAAAGGTCCATATCGTGGGTGGTTATCGGCCTTTGTAACGGTCCATATTGTGGGTGGTTATCGGCCTTTGAAACGGTCCATATCGTGGGTGGTTATCGGCCTTTGTAACGGTCCATATAGTGGGTGGTTATCGGCCTTTGTAAAGGTCCATATCGTGGGTGGTTATCGGCCTTTGTAACGGTCCATATAGTGGGTGGTTATCGGCCTTTGTAACGGTCCATATAGTGGGTGGTTATTGGTCTTTGTAACGGTCCATATAGTGGGTGGTTATCGGCCTTTGTAACAGTCCATATAGTGGGTGGTTATCGGCCTTTGTAACGGTCCATATAGTGGGTGGTTATCAGCCTTTGTAACGGTCCATATAGTGGGTGGTTATCAATGTGTACCAAGTTTATTACACGGTAGAGAAATCTGTGTCTACTTGATCTTTGTACACAGTGACTGTCACTGTTATACGTGTGTAATGTCCTATTACACGCTGGTTGTCAATGTCCTGTTACACGCATGTAATCACGTGACTTCTAACAGCACGAGACGAGCCCCACCCTCGACAAACCACCAGCAACCGGAAGTGTGGTTGACTTGATATCACCCAGGGTACACGGTGACAAAGTATCGAAGCTTATCTTGAGCTAATAAAAATCATTATCGTTGCCCTTAAGGGTGCCCGGGTCAAAGGTTGGACACGCCTACAGGTAAACATGGGACCCACCCGTTTAACAGGAGGTGTGGGTTACCAGGTGACCTGCGGGGACCTACCGCAGGGTTTGTTTCCACACGTGTGTCATTTGGTTAAAGGTATCGGGACATTTGGGGTTATGACATGTGATATTATGACATTTGGGGTTGTGACATGTGATATTATGACATTTGGGGTTATGACATGTGATATTATGACATTAGGAGTTTTGACATATGATAATAACATTCAGGGTTGTGAGTTTTGTTGATGTGACATTTGATATATCATCCAATTAGGGCGTCCAACCGTTGGCAGAGTTTCTTTCATGCATATCATCAGACGGGGAGGGGGGGGGGGGCGGACAGTTACCTCTCCCCCTCCTCATTCTGATGAGATGTCTGACAGAAACTGACCGTTAGATTTAGTCAAGCAGTCACTAGCGGTACCAAACCTGCCTAATTTGACGTAGAACGCATTCTTTAAACAGACTGCACGAGAGTACCCGTTTCCCATAGGACGTTAAGCCGCGCAAAACGTTGAGGAAATAAATTCGTTTGAAAATCCAATAAAAATTGTATTCCCATTTGTCCGTGGTTGCCAATGATACGGAAAGAAATGTACCCATTGATATATTTGAAAAACTGTTTTGTACCGTCAAGATCCACTTTTATCGGCGTTTAATTCTTCATCTTCGTCGTCGTTCTTGGCGTTATTTACATCGGCGGGGTCAGATAACAGGTCAAACGTCGTGGACCAACTGGACAGTGGTCTCGGTGGTCTCCTGGTCTCGGTGGTCTCCTGGTCTGCGGTGGTCTGCGGTGGTCTCCTGGTCTGCGGTGGTCTGCGGTGGTTTCCAGGTTTGCGGGCACCCTGTACAGGTTTTTTCTGAGTGGGGTGTATTGGTGCCAGTCTAGATGGCGCCATATGGTACATGTAGAAGCACAGCATGACATGTGCGACGCTCTCTGGGCCATGCCACATGGGCCATCTAACTGACCTCATGTGGTTGGGCCATTTGGGGCCATGCCACATGGACCATCTAACTGAAATCTCCTGTAGTTGGGCCATCTGGGGCCACGCCACATGGGCCATCTAACTGACCTCATGTGGTTGGGCTATCTGGGTCATGCCACAAGGGCCATCTAACTGACCTCCTGTGTTGTTTCTCCCATCCATCGAAAAGTGGGTTAAATATTTCCCGTGACGTCACCTAATTATTCCGTGAATCTCTCCAGTGAGGCGCTATATACCGCATGCTAATTTATGTCACATTCTTGCCGCGGCGCGTATGGCACACAGAAGCAACGCCAACAGTTGTAATATTAAAATAGCCCGTCAGTCTAGCCCCACCCCCCATCTGTTGCACAGAAAACAAAACCTGGCGTAAACAACTTAAGCCCCTTGCAGTTTAAAACGGAAGCGAATAATTTAACCCAACGTTCGCGGAGACACCAAAATATTCATGCGACACTATCACAACGTCGAGAGTTTCACCTTGGAGTCTTAAAGTCCGCTTTTATCATGTGAAAGAAATGTCATTCTGAAATGTTATCATTCCAATTGTTGCTGTCTCGAGATGGAGTGGATGTTTTGATGGTGTTGTGACAAGCATACCAACACACCCTCGCCACATCCACAACAGCCGACGTGTTTTGATTTGCTTTAAATCATCGCTGTCACAGCGAGGCTGTCTAATGTTATAAAATTAGTTTTCGTTTTACGTCTCGGGTTTTTGAACAGCAACAGCGAAATGTGACGTGGGCTGACCGCGCCACTCTAGACCTGACTAGGCAAACACAGACAGGCCGAGCCGGCGACGCGTTGCCTCCCCTTGCAGACATTTTGTAGCTGGAGTTGTCGTCCCCGCGCGGGTTGTCCGCCCCATATAATAGCAGAACTGAGTCGTCTGACTTGATTCTATTAGCGGCCTCAAGATCACACGCCACATGGACTATTCTATACCCCATTTAGGGTAAGTACTTGGTAATAGTTTTTTTCTGTACTAAATGGGACGAGGAGGGGGGGGGGGGGTAGTACAGTCAATGGGAGAAAAATGGAAGTCAAAATAACGGAATTTATTTTACCGTTTTCATCTTGTAAACCGAGAACTTATGGTAGTATGTGCGTAATAGATTCTGATTTAGCACAGAGCGCCCTATCAGACCCAATGGTGACAGATTTAGCAGATAAAGAACCAGTCTATCCTCGCAGTGACAAGGTGATTTCAAGCATTAATCTGGGAGTGTGTTGGATTAGGGGGATGTGATGTCTATATTTGGGATATTGTATGTCCTCTATATTAGGGATACAGGATGTCCTATAAATTAGTTCTTGCTATGTGTATAAGGGACTGTTACAGCTGTATAAAGCGTGTGTGTGGGGGGGGGGGGGATGTTATTCGTCTTTATCTGGGAGTGTTATATGTCTGTAAATGGAAGTGTTATACGCCTGTATATAGAAGTGTTATAGGTCTGTATATGGAAGTGTTATAGGTCTGTATATAGGAGTGTTATAAGTCTGTATATGGAAGTGTTATACGCCTGTATATAGGAGTGTTATAGGTCTGTACAATGGTGTTTTTAAGGTCGTGTATAAGGTCTGTATCAGGAAATGTCCAGATTAGTGGGTGGTTTACACTGATCGCAGAATGTCTGTTTTAGAAAGTATTGTAAGTCTGTATTAGAAAGTATTGTAAGTCTGTATTAGAAAGTATTGTAAGTCTGTATTAGAAAGTGATGTAAGTCTGTATTTAATGTATTGTATGTATGTATTAGAAAGTATTGTAAGTCTGTATTAGAAAGTATTGTAAGTCTGTATTAGAAAATGTAAGTCTGTATTAGAAAGTATTGTAAGTCTGTATTAGAAAGTATTGTAAGTCTGTATTAGAAAATGTAAGTCTGTATTATTTAAAGTATATTTCATTTATATAATCCTTTATCAGTGTTATAATTTTAGCGAACATCAATTATGTTAAATTAGTTGGTGTGTGGACCCCTAGAATATATGGTGGTCCAACGGTCCATATAGTGAGTAGTTATCGCCTTTCTGTATTAGAAAGTGATGTAAGTCTGTATTTAATGTATTGTATGTATGTATTAGAAAGTATTGTAAGTCTGTATTAGAAAGTATTGTAAGTCTGTATTAGAAAGTATTGTAAGTCTGTATTAGAAAGTGTGTTAAGCCTGTATTAAGGTGGGTCTCAACTAACGGACACTGTGTCACATTATAGAACCAGAGTGTGTCGTATTAGATAGGCAGAATGTGTCGTATTAGATAGGCAGAGTGTGTCGTATTAGATAGCCAGAGTGTGATAGAGACACAACGTCAAGTTGCGACACAGTGTGTCTTGTGCTTGTCAAGAGTTTAGGGTCAAGTACCCAACACACACAGACAGACGCAGTTACCCGCCCTTGTAGTCTGGTGATCAAATTTGTCAACACGCGTGAAAGTTGTATGTTGTATGTACAAGTCTTAGTGAATGTTGAATGTTGAAATATACACGTTTTAATGAATGTTGTATGTTGTATGTACACGTTTTAATGAATGTTGTATGTTGTATGTACAAGTTTTAATGAATGTTGTATGTTGTATGTACAAGTTTTAATGAATGTTGAATGTTGTATGTACACGTTTTAATGAATGTTGAATGTTGTATGTACACGTTTTAATGAATGTTGAATGTTGTATGTACAAGTTTTAATGAATGTTGTATGTTGTAAGTACAAGTCATATTGTATGTTATAATGTACAAGTCTTAATGAATATTGTATGTTGTATGTATGCATTTGTGTATGTTGTATGTGCAAGTGTTAATGAATGTTTTATTTTGCATGTATACATCTTAAATCATGTTGGATCTTGTATGAGCAAGTCTTGATGAATGTTGTATGATCTACGTGATATCTGGATGAATGTTGTAAACTGGAATAGATTCGCGTGAAATGGTGACAGGGGTCAGTTTGCTGGTGGTGGTGGTGGTTGTGTGAATGTGTGTGTTTATGTGTGTGTGTGTTTGTGTGTGTGTGTGTATGAGTGTGTGTGTGTATTTGTGTGTGTGTGTGGGGGGGGTTGAATGCTGACCTTTTTGTTAGTTTGTAGCTTAGTAAACACGAGATCGTCATCACTGGCTTAAACAAACACATTCTGTGCTGCTTCAGTGGGAATGGTGGGGGTAAGCATGCAACTAGGCAAACTAGGCAATCAAGAAACTAGGCAAACTAGGCAATCATGCAGCTAGGCAAACTAGGCAATCAGGCAGCTAGGCAATCAGGCAGCTAGGCAAACTAGACAATCAGGCAGCTAGGCAATCAGGCAGCTAGGCAAACTAGGCAATCAGGCAGCTAGGCAATCAGGCAGCTAGCCAATCAGGCAACTAGGCAATCAGGAAATTAGGCAATAAGACAACTAGGCAATCAGGAAACTAAACAATCAGGCAACTAGGCAATCAGGCAACTAGGCAATCAGGAAACTAGGCAAACTAGGCAATCAAGAAGCTAGGAAATCATGCAATTAGGCAATCTGAAAACTAGGCAATCAGGCAACTAAGTGATCTAAGCAATCATACAACTAGGCAATTAGGAAAACAAGGCCACTGGACAATCAATTTACTAGGCAAATTAGGCAATCGAGTAACTAAACAATCAGAAACAAGGCTACCAGACATGTAGGAAATCAGACCACATAGTATCAAACTAGACTTGATCCAGACCACAAAGTATCAAACTAGACTTGATGTAGACCACAAAGTATCAAACTAGACTTGATCCAGACCACAAAGTATCAAACTAGACTTGATGCAGACCACATAGTATCAAACTAGACTTGATGCAGACCACATAGTATCAAACTAGACTTGATGCAGACCACAAAGTATCAAACTAAAACTTGATGCAGACCACATAGTATCAAACTAGACTTAATCCAGACCACATAGTATCAAACTAGACTTGATGCAGACCACAAAGTATCAAACTAGACTTGATGCAGACCACAAAGTATCAAACTAGACTTGATGCAGACCACATAGTATCAAACTAGACTTGATGTAGACCACATAGTATCAAACTAGACTTGATCCAGACCACAAAGTATCAAACTAGACTTGATGCAGACCACATAGTATCAAACTAGACTTGATGCAGACCACAAAGTATCAAACTAGACTTGATCCAGACCACAAAGTATCAAACTAGACTTGATGCAGACCACAAAGTATCAAACTAGACTTGATCCAGACCACAAAGTATCAAACTAGACTTGATGCAGACCACATAGTATCAAACTAGACTTGATGTAGACCACATAGTATCAAACTAGACTTGATGTAGACCACAAAGTATCAAACTAGACTTGATCCAGACCACATAGTATCAAACTAGACTTGATGCAGACCACAAAGTATCAAACTAGACTTGATGCAGACCACATAGGATCAAACTAGACTTGATGCTGTTTATGCCCCCTAGTCATTAGACCATTGCTGAAGACAATACGATCAGCCATTCAAATTACTAAACAACTGAGCTAATGGAAAATCAGACCATGAAGCAATCAAATAACTAAGACAGTCAGACAACTAAGACAGCCAGACAACTAAGACAGCCAGAAAACCAAGCATTCAGTCAGACAACTAAGACAGTCAGACAACTAAGACAGTCAGACGACTAAGACAGTCAGACAACTAAGACAGTAAGACTACTAAGACAGACTACTAAGACAGTCAGACAACTAAGACAGACAACTAAGACAGTCAGACGACTAAGACAGTTAGACAACTAAGACAGTCAGACAACTAAGACAGTCAAACAACTAAGACAGACAACCAACCAAGCATTCAGTCAAACAAGCAGGCCATACCAACAAGACCAGTTTTTTTCAACTATCTCAGTGGCGCAGGTTTAGCTCTGGTGTAGAATGTCGTCTGGAATTTCAAGAATTAGTCACGTGATACGGACACTGACTCTTGTCAGTCTCTTCTGTCCTGTCAAGTTTTGGTCGTGTCTTTGACGTCACGGTACTGTTGGTCATGTGTGTGACGTCACTCACGTTTTGGTCTATTTGGTCGTGTCTTTGACGTCATTGAAGTGTTGGTTGTGTCTGTTTGTGTGTGTGTGCATGGACATAGAAAAATAGCAGCTGAAACTTAAAACAAAAGGCTATATTCTTGATTCAAGTATGTAGATGATGATCGCGTGATGTTGTATTCTTATAACTCGGTGAAGTTGTGTTCAAGTGTTATGGATTGTTGAGAAGACAGTTTGTGAACTATGGTCGGCTTTAGCCTGCAACCGATAGGGGGCGCTGAGCTAATTACTTTGTGGATTAGTTAGACAAGTAAAAAGTATCCACATCCACAGACAATTGGTGAGCATCCAATTCCACATAGTCAGCCACAGATAACAAATGTTTACAACATCCACATAGCCACAGATAACAAATGTTTACAATATCCAGATAGCCACAGATAACAAATGTTTACAACATCCACATAGCCACATATAACAAATGTTTACAATATCCAGATAGCCACAGATAAGAAATGTTTACAACATCCAGATAGCCACATATAACAAATGTTTACAACATCCAGATAGCCACATATAACAAATGTTTACAATATCCAGATAGCCACAGATAAGAAATGTTTACAACATCCAGATAGCCACAGATAACAAATGTTTACAACATCCAGATAGCCACAGATAACAAATGTTGTTGACTTACACCCACAATACTGAAGGGCAGCTACAAACTTATGTCAGCGTGTTTGTGTGTATGTGTGTCTGTGTGTATGCGTGTGTATTTGTGTGTGTGTGTGTGTGTTTGTGTGTGTCTATGTGTGTGTGACCATTCCACCAAACCATGTCACAATACAGTTGTCTGACGTATCCAGTAAACCAAACATTGGGGGGGGGGGTCAAGTCAGTCACAGTCCCCACTATTCCGTTATACGGCCCCAGGCTGACGTCATCGTCTTGTGTCGATCCATCGCCACCTACTGCTTAAATTTGTCTTAATCTGAATCCTAACACATTAACAGTGCCATTAGTCACTACCATTAGCCACTACCATTAGCCACTACCATAAGAGTGGGATAACACTAATGTAAGATGTCACCACTGACTTGTGAATTACCCTAACGTTATGTGTATGCTATGTTATGTTGCCTGATTATGTTTGCCATAATCCTTGCTTTAAGCAGCCTTAATTAACTGTTTGTTTAAACATATCCAATTAAAAGCTAAGCTGAGACACACATCACCCCCTCCCCTACCCCCTGCCCTACGTATCAATGGGGGGGGGGGCTGTTGTGACAACCAAGTATAGCTTTAATGAGTGCTTAATATTCCGATCAGATTTAGTTTAAGAAAGCACTACCGACTTTTTTTGGAGTATTCCCACGATATGAACATCAGCGATAACCCTTCGGAGAAGGAAAATGTTGTAAATGGGTCGCCCATAAAACTGTCCAATAAAATAAACACAGGAAAAAATCTTTCATATCAAATTTTAACTCCATTACGACAGCTGGAATATTGCTGGGGTCTTTTTGACTACCGCGTTTGTCGGTGGTTTATTCGTTAGTTTAACACCCACATAAGGTGTGGACACACGATCCGGTGGACTGTGTCCAAGCACTTCTGTGTCTGTCTGTGTCTAGAGACCGACACACGTGTGTCACCAGGGTCGGTTTGTTTGTGACATCATGACATGACTGTCATAATTAAACTTCACAGACCTCAATAAAAGGCAATTCACATTATGATTCATATATTGTGAGTCAACTATACATTCTGAGTCAACTTAACAATTGTTGAGTCAACTTTACACTGTTGAGAGAGGATCTAATTTGTGTTACACTTGTGGACTCTGTGCCCGACTGTACTTGACTCCGGATATGACTCTCATATGACTCCGGGTATGACTTTCATATGACTCTTATATGACTGGGCCTTCAAATTCTCACACAAACTTTGGGTACTACAATATTAGGGTTGGGTTTGAAGCAAAACACTATGTCCCCAACCCTAACATTGTAGTAGCCAAAGTTGTAAACTGCCCACAACCCTGGGATTCTACATTACACCGAACCCAGAATTTCTCAACCCGGTTTAAAAGCAGGTAAAGGAGGTCATTAACCCCGCCAGATAGACCCCCAGCCTATTTTGTGGACCCCCTCATTTTACAGACCCCTTCATTTGGTAGACGTTTAATATTGTGGACCCCTTCTTATTGAGGACCCCCTCATTTCGTGGACCCCCTCATTTTACGGACCCCATCATTTGGTGGACCCCTGTATATTGTGGACCCCCTAATTTTGTGGACCCCCCATGCCCTCCTGACAACGGTCCCTTTATGTAAGATTGGCTTGTCACCACACCGTTATCTTTCCTTCTGGGAAACAACTCTACATTCTACCCCGTCATGTGGAGTCTAGTTCGTCGCTGACTCAAGTCTTTCTAAATGTATGACTCAAGTCTGTCTACCAGCACAAAATGTCTGCCAAGACTTCCTCAGATTGCTGGGTGGGATGGGACACTTTTGTCAGGCCAGGCTATAAATAACGCCCCCATTGATACATGCGTCACGTGATTTGAGGAGGGAGGGTCAGGGGAGGGGACTAGAGACCTGATCAGGTCACACTGTGAGACTGGCGCAGGGAGAAAGGTCTTCCGTAAGGAGAAAGGTCTTCCGTAGGGAGAAAGGTCTTCCGTAGGGAGAAAGGTCTTACGGTCTGTTTATAGGTGGCATCACAGGTATGTTCAAAGATATTGTGATGGTATTTTAAAGGTATTGTGATGGTATTTTAAAGGTATTGTGATGGTATTTTAAAGGTATTGTGATGGTATTTTAAAGGTATTGTGATGGTATTTTAAAGGTATTGTGATGGTATTTTAAAGGTATTGTGATGGTATTTTAAAGGTATTGTGATGGTATTTTAAAGGTATTGTGGTGAAGCCAGGCTTGAATATTCTAGGCGTCGAAAGAGTCCTAAGGTTTCAAGGATTCTAGACAGATACCAATTAGCCAGAGGACATTTCGTCTGTTCGCTGTTTGTTCGTGTGTATATCTCTACGTCGTGGTTTCGCATAACAAATAATGTTATACACAACGTCGATTCATACCGTTGTGTTACACGTTCGCATGTACTAGCGTGTTGGTAGACTTCGTCTTCTAACGGTCGTGGACACGCTTGAATGAACATCTGTGCTTCTGCCTCCCATCTGACATGGAACCAGTGTGGTCGTGTCGCTAGCTGTTAGCACTACAACCTCAGCGTCCGAGGTTCGGAGACCAATATTATAAGCATGATGAGCACACAGAACAGGCTTGTAGGAGAACTGTGTAGCACATCCCTGTCCTCCCCTTGCCAGTCTAGTACTGATGGGGTACTGATGGGGTACTGGGGGCGTATCATGTTGTGTCATTCATGTACTTGCCTTCCCGCCCACCCACCAACCCGCCCACCATGTGTTGTGCTGTAGTGAAATATGTTCACCGCAGTTTCGCAATATAAAAAAATAATAATCAAAAGGTAATCTCACGTGATTTAGTCAACCGTGACGGGAGACAGACGAATTACGTGAGAGAGGTTTACTCTAGCCATCTGATTTGGGATGGGTTCAAGACGGATTTGGCTTAACGGATTTGGTTTAACGCTCCGGTAAGAAGTAAAGCAGCCCTTCTTTCCTCCCACGATGAAGGCTACATGAGATCGTAGGGAGGTATGGGGGGGGGGGGGGGGTGAATACAATCTCTAAACACCAGCGGGGGAGGAAGGGTGGGGTTCTGTCGCCCAGGTAGACTGGCTTGAAATTATGAATGGATTGAACACCTGACATGACCCTCTCTCGCCTGACACACTTTTTTCACCCCCCCCCCCTCCCGCAGGTAAAGTGGGATGGGAAAAAAAACTCTTTCATTTTGTGACGTTTCATTTTCGACTAGCTATCAGCTCGCTCGATCACAGCAGATTAATTTACCGTTCGTTAGTTGTACAGCGATGAAAGACATTTTGTCCAATCACAGCTTAAACTCGGCTAAATGACGGGATGACTAACTAGGTAGTGGAGCTACACATTAGTGAAGCTAACTACACATTAGGTGGAGGCTAAAGATGACTAACTAGGTGGTTAATTGCTACTAACTACGCGTCAGGTTAAGCTAAAGATGACTAACTAACATTGACTAGCTATGATGTGAAGAAGTAGCTGTCTGTACTGCTACCAAATCGTGTCCACATCAGCTTTAAGTTGGTGAGGTCATTAGCTGAAAGAGATTAGATCGAATGCTCCGATATCTTCACTAGTCGTTGGTTTCATCGAGATATTTGGACCAGTTCATGTGCGTTGATTGTTGTAATCGATATTATTAGCTGCTTTGACGGTTGTAATCAATGTTTTTAGTTGTTTTTTATACATTTCACTTTGTTTATATGTACAGCCTGGTATTTATAACAACCTATTATATCTTGATGCTAACCTACTAATTGTGGCTGCTTTGTATTCTATAGTGCAACAATGTTTTTTTTTCTTGTTAAAAATATTTATTCCATTCAAGTAATGCAGTTCGATAAATAAATAAATGCCATTTTAAAACATTTTTTCGTGACTTTACTTTTGGTCTCCTCAAAGGATTTATAGTTTATCTAAATCTTGGACTCGTGTATTTGTGAGCAAATCATCAGGCAAGTTACGTTATTTAATTGATATTGTTTATTTCCCCCCCCCCTCCTTTACCGGAGCAGTCCCGTGGTAGTGACGTCACCAGCATGAGATGACCTGACGGGCCATGGCCAACTACGTCAAGCGGCTGCGGGCCTGCCTGGCCCCCCTCCTCCTCATCTACACCGTGTCCGTCACCTACTTCCTCGCCCAGACGGCCTGGGGTAACGCCCCCGAGGAGGGCGTGTCCAACCGGAAGCACCCAGCCGTCATTGACGTCTTGGTGCAGGAGGAGAGACGTCACCTGAGGAGTTTCCAGGACATCGTCCAGAGCAACCGGTAATCACGTGACACATAGATAACAAACGTAACCCTAACCACTGCACAGCTTTTAGAAGTTAAAGGATGTCATAAACCATGTTTAGACTTAACTCTGGATTAGCCTTCAAGAAACTTCCATCCCTAATCTCAATTAGCTTTATAAAACTTAACTATAATCTTTAGTACACGTGTCAAGCAATGTCTTACTTAAATGCAGTTTACAACTTAATCTAAACTTTCACTATCGTTTAGCTAACGTTTATCTCAGTGTCTCATATTGATGTCAAGTTTAAACCATATTTCAGTAACTAACTTTCTTTTCTCCCAGGGATTCGAACCCGCCCTCTTACATCGCTGGCAGAACACGTCGGAACCTCCAGGTGACCAACTCCAGCGTCATGGACCAGGTGTTGATTCTAGACGAGATGGGGACAGACGGAGTCAGGGAAGACGCAGGCAGCGTCAGACACCCTGGTGACGTCACAGTTGCCAGCGACGAGGGACTGGTCGGAAAAAGTGACCGCGACCTCGGACAGAATTCCGACTCGCAGAAGCAGACGTTCACAGACACGAAGCAGACGTTCAAAGTGGAGGTGGAGCAGTGGGACCACGGGGAGGGGCATAGGGGAGGTCACGTGATGAACAAGGCGGTCCACAGACCGGCGCCCAGTCTCCCGAAATGGCCGGCCCAGCAGAAGATCGGCCCCCGACACGCCGAGGTCAAATACTCCATCGAATACTGCGACGGCATCTTCAAAGACCTGGGTACCACCAGCAACATCTGCGAGAGAAGGCTGGCCACTGAAGGTTCTGACCAGCACATCCCGCCCAGCAAAACTTCCTTGTCTTTCATCGTCCTGGGGGACGTCTACATCTTCTCGTCCTTTCTCGACACGAGGGTCACCCCGCCCTTGGTTCGTTTCATTACCATAGGGATTCAAGGTCGCGACCTGACGAAATCCTACTATTGGTGTGTTTTTGATGTTCCAGTCAGAGGAAGTAACGACACACACACGGACACACACACGGACACAGCGACACACACGGACACAGCGACACAGCTGGAGTACTGGGCAGCCAGCGACGGACATAAAAAACCTGCCCAGTTTTACATCCTGTCATGTCCGGTTCCAGACCTCGCCCTGCCGTCCTTCTACTGGCGGCACCAGGGGACGATCCGTGTGGTCATCGGTGACCAGCACAGCCCGCGGCTCAACCCCGGCCAGGTGGGCGTCACCGTCCCCGTGGTCAACAACCTGGCGGGGTCAGCTCGACCCAGGGGCGGTAACTCGTCAGGAAACAAGCGGGAGTATTTCCAAAAGATGGAGCAGGACCTACAGCTGTTGACCAACGTCATACAGGCAGATAACAACGACGATGAAGATGTTAGTGTAGATAATAAAAACAACGGCGATGATAATATCAATAACGGTAACAAATTCTTTTTCCAAACCCCAAACTTGGAACAGCCTGATGGCGATGTAAATAATAAAAATGTAAACATTTTCGCCGAACCGGAAGTGGAGAACTCTGAGTCATTTTCGGAAATTTCCGACTACAAAATTGTTGCCTGCGTGGCCCCACTTCAGGGCAACATCGGGGTCATCCAGCTGATTGAGTTCATAGAGCTTCAGCTGTTGCTAGGCAACCACCACATCGTCTTCTACGCATTCCAAAGCTCGGAAGAGATGAGCAGCATCTTGCGGATGTACGAGAGGCGAGGCCTGGCGACTGTCCTGGCCTGGAAAGTTCCGAGCCCTGGCTCCATCTGGGCCAACGGTCGAGACGTGGCCCTCAACGACTGCCTGTACCGGACCATGCATTTATTCCACTACGCCATCTTTCTAGACATCGACGAGTTCTTCGTCCCGAGGGCCACGCCGGACATGCCGTCCTTCCTGCGCTACCTGAAGGCCGTGCACCACTTCAACGCTTCCAGAATCTCCGACCTGGTCTTCAGCTCGGCCTACTTCCCGGCGCCCACCAAGCAGGAGTACAAGAACGTCAGCCTGGCGCCAGACTTCACCAAGGACGTCAGCCGCATGGCCACCCTGAAGAGCGTGTTCAGGTCGTACCACAACCAGCAGCACACGCTGCGCATGCTCAGGGGCGAGAAGGCGTTTCGAGTGGGGCCGGGGGAGCGCCGGAAGACGTCGTTCAACATCAGCCCGCGCTACGCCGCTGTACACCACTACAGCTTCTGTCCGCGGGTCACGGCTGACCCAGGCAAGACCCAGGCTGGTCTTAACGTCAGTAAAACTTTCAACGACAACAACGTTTTGACGCAAAATCAAAATACCGGGGAGTCAAGACAACAGATTCCCCGCGAAGACAAGGCAGCTGTTTCCGGTGACCTGACGAAAGGTCACGTTTTAGTGACGTCATCGCCGGCAAGCACGGCCCCTGTGGATATGTGCCTACACAAAAAGGTGGATTGGATTATGTGGAGGTACAAGGCCAAGTTAATCGAACGGACTAAAGAAAGTATTCGCCGCCTAAACAAAGGTTCAGGGTGAAGTGGGTCAAGTGGGAGTTGCCAGATAAATATTTATAAAAGCTGCCGAACGGGACCTGGGTCACGCGACAAACAAAATTAAAAACCTGCTTTGTAGATCGCTCGGCTAGTTTTGACAAATCGGGCTTTGTAAATAGCCTGTGTAAATGGTAGGTGTAAATGGTCGGCATAAATGGACGGTGTAAATGTTTGATGTGAAACATGGGTGTGAGTGTTATAATTACGGCTGATTTTAAACGAGCCATTGATGGAGGTTTGGTCCCTCCTCAGCAAACGTGACCAGTTCGTCGGTTCAACATCCACGCTAACCTTGACCTTTTGACACGTCGGCCTCTGTACCACGTGATGTTGACCCGTATACGCAGACAACTAGGCCGTTGTTCATCTCATGTAACTGACCCAGTAACCCCTCCCTCCCCCCCTCCTCACTCCAACCTGGAGTGTCAGAGACCACAGGAAAACAACTGGGATGTGACGTCATGGGGCCAATGTGCTGGCTCGTGCAACACCACAACACCGATATCTGATTGGATGTTTGATCTCTACCGTCTAGAACGTATAGCAGTGGTCAAACTTCACACGGCCAAATTTTTATCAGTATCATATTAGACGGTCAATTTTGTACCAGTAGCAAACTTTATTCGGCCAAGTTTGTAAGAGAAGCAAAGATTTAGTCAGTAGCAAACTTAAGACGGCCTAGAATGTATCAGTTTCAAACTTCAGAAAGTTTATTTTAGCAACAGGCTAATTTTTTACCCTCTCCCCCCCCCCCCCATCCGCCTCCCCCTGCCCGCCGGGGTGGAGTGACAGACGCCTTACGTCACACCAGCAGACGGTACACATGGCCTGACATTGTGGCGGGATTTTTTCGCGGGCTGTCGTCTGCAAAAGGTCTTCGCTGTGGCATAAAGCACACAGGTTTTGCTAACGACAAGCACACGTTGCCTATGTACACCTTGAAAATAAATACAAAAGCTATTTATAAATGTTGAAGAATTTTCACGATTTGATTTTAAGGTGTGTTGAATCTTTGTAATGAAACATTTATGTAGCACGATAAAATGGCTGTTTCGTGATGTTGTTCCGTTGTGGTGTGTGTATGTTGTTCTGTGCTGGCGTCTGTACCAACAGTAAATTAATGACATGTAATTGTATAATTTAGAGAACAGCCCATCACACCCATAAGAACAAATGTTACTAATTACTAAATCTTTGTTACAAACGTTATAAATCTTCCTAACTCTTAACATTCGTTGGTTGCAGTTTGTGCGCTGACCCAGTTATTTCCCTGACCCAGTTATTTGACCCAGTTGTTCACCTGACCCAGATTCCAAACAAACCGTTTGTTCCTGTTTGTCTGGCAGTGACTTCCGGTCGGTCCTGGAATGACCACATAGGTTCCAGGTCAAACATTACCACGTGCCACGCACGTGCATACGTCATGTTTACTTGTTCTAAAAATATCCAGAACTGACCTACATATCAGACAGTAAGAATTTGTTTGATCCAAAACCCTGATGGTGGTGGGGGGGGGGGGGGGGGTGTGTTTGTTATAGGACTAGGGGTGCTAGGGGGTACACAAGTAAATGTGTTTATACTTTAGTGTACCTAATACTTTTAGTACAGAGGTATCAGATGTAGAGGGAGGTAATCGAATAATTCAGTGTTGACATTTTAGCTGTAGCAGTCTTAGAGTTATCCTTGTTTACATACGGTACGGTGACCTAAGGAAGGTCTTGTATAAACGTCAGGAAAACGGCGATTTGGCAGAAAAGGGTATCATAAATAGAATAAAGCTTACGGGAAATAAATCACACGAAACTATAAGCTAAAATAAGGGAAACGTATAGTAAGTTAAACACAGAAAGCTAAACACAAAGACAGCTAACAAAGTGTTTACCTGTAGCCAGTTAGAGAGTTAACTTTAGTTAACCTGACCTTTTGTTGACAATCTAGTTGGGGTAGTGGTACTAGGAGCTGGAGGAGGGTTGGGGGGGGGGGGGTGTGGACTGCAAAGGAAGTCACCATCTAAGGGGGTGACACCAAAACAAAATAAAGCTAATTTTGAAGTCTGGTTTCTCATATAGTCTAATAACGTATTAAAGTTTCATGAAACATTAGACTCAACAGAACATCACGTAGTTTGGGGTGACATTACAATTTATATTGCCTATAGATGTAAAAAGTAAATATTCCTCTTTAGACCTGTTGATCCATTAGGAAGATGAAGTAGAGTTCATGTTACTTGACGAAGAGATAATGTGCGTATAGTTGTACAACATTATATTAGGAGAAGCTTGGAGAGGAGATTGGCGTCCCGGGTTATCGCATTCGCCCATTAAAGATACCGGGGGGGGGGGGGGGTAAATATACCCTAACGCCACTGAGTTAGGGTAAGGGCGTGGCTTATTGTCGACCATCTAGTTAGGGCGTGGCTTATTGTCGACCATCTAGTTAGGGCGTGGCTTATTATCGACCATCTAGTTAGGGCGTGGCTTACTGTCGACCATCTAGTTAGGGCGTGGCTTACCTTGAGGTGGCCTTACTGCCCGTCTCTGCCTGCACCAGTTCCTCCTCTGGGGCCTCCATCACTTTATTGATTGTATCCACCAGCTGTTGGCTAATCTGTGGGTCAAAGGGGGGGGGGGGTAGGATTAGAGCTTTTAATGTAGTAGTTAGTGTGGTGTAGATCATACCAAGTTAAATCAAATACAAATATTCTCGAACATCATATTATGTGCTAAAATCTGTACAAAAGTTCAGCAAGATGTTGACATTTGGTACAAAAGTTCTACAACATGTTGACATTGAGCACAAAAGTTCCGCAACATGTTGACATTGAGTACAAAAGTTCTGCAACATGTTGACATTGAGTACAAAAGTTCAGCAACATGTTGACATTGAGTACAAAAGTTCTACAACATGTTGACATTTGGTACAAAAGTTCAGCAAGATGTTGACATTGAGTACAAAAGTTTTGCAACATGTTGACATTGAGTACAAAAGTTCTGCAACATGTTGACATTGAGTACAAAAGTTCTGCAAGATGTTGACATTGAGTACAAAAGTTCTGCAACATGTTGACATTTGGTACAAAAGTTCTGCAACATGTTGACATTGAGTACAAAAGTTCTGCAACATGTTGACATTGAGTACAAAAGTTCTGCAACATGTTGACATTTGGTACAAAAGTTCTGCAACATGTTGACATTGAGTACAAAAGTTCTGCAACATGTTGACATTGAGTACAAAAGTTCAGCAACATGTTGACATTACAAAAGTTCTGCAACATGTTGACATTTGGTACAAAAGTTCTGCAACATGTTGACCTACCTCCCGTGGTGGTTTCTCCACTGCCACAATCCTGCCAACCTCGTCTGCCACTGTCTGGATGTCCAGCTTGGTCAAGTCACCTGGTTGGTTGACCACACTGTTCAGACGTTCACTGGCATTGCCCACGTTGTCTGGCACTATCACCTGCTCAACATACAACATATCACATAGTCAACATACAACATATCACATAGTCAACATACAACATATCATAGTCAACATACAACATATCACCTGGCCAAAAAGTGTATTTTTGTTCAAACCACATACACACTTAATCACATTAATAAATAACATTCACACATATGTACTCTCATACACACACAGACAGGTATGTGTATGCATATATGCCTATGTGCATCATGCACATCACACAGGATTCAGCCAAAGGACTAGGTCAGACATGCACTTGAGCAATCAATGACCACAGGTACCTGCTCTGGATTGTGTAGATCTGAAGAGATGGGCGTGTCGAAACCTTTCCGTGTGGTGTTGTTGGGCCGAGGTGTGGAGGAGGCGGTTCGAATCCCACTGGACGTGAAGCAGGAGGTGGTGACCTTCCATGTGTCCCAGTAGGCGCCGGTCTGAAGGTCACCTTTACAGAAGGCTGACCCTGAGGGCTGACCGTTGGCTGTAGGCAGGACAAGTACAGGACATTGGTAGGACATTCTAGACAAGTTCAGGACTTAGTGGTAGGACATTCTAGACAATTACAGGACAGTGGTAGGACATTCTATACAATAACAGGACATTGGTGGGACATTCTAGAGAAGTATAGGCCTTAATGGTAGGACATTCTAGACAAGGACTTAATAATAGGACATTCAAAACAAGGACATAATAGTAGGACATTCAAAAGATTCGAGTGTTGTAGGACAATCAGGAGGAGTTTGTGTTAATACATCAAAAACTAATTTCCTACTACCCCCAAAAGTTATCGCAAACCTCAAGTATACAAAAGTTATGTGTATTCCCAATAGAGACACGTGTACTCACCACTAAAGTCTCATGTACTAAAGTCCCTGTACAAAAATCCTGTGTACTAAAGTCCTATGTACAAAAGTCCCATGCACTCACCACAAAAGTCCCATGCACTCACCACAAAAGTCCCATGCACTCACCACAAAAGTCCCATGTACTCACCACAAAAGTCCCATGCACTCACCACAAAAGTCCCATGCACTCACCACAAAAGTCCCATGCACTCACCACAAAAGTCCCATGCACTCACCACAAAAGTCCCATGTACTCACCACAAAAGTCCCGTGTACAAAAGTCCCGTGTACTCACCACAAAAGTCCCATGTACTCACCACAAAAGTCCCATGTACTCACCACAAAAGTCCCATGTACTCACCACAAAAGTCCCATGTACTCACCACAAAAGTCCCATGTACTCACCACAAAAGTCCCATGTACTCACCACAAAAGTCCCATGTACTCACCACAAAAGTCCCATGTACTCACCACAAAAGTCCCATGTACTCACCACAAAAGTCCCATGTACTCACCACAAAAGTTCCATGTACTCACCACAAAAGTCCCGTGTACAAAAGTCCCGTGTACTCACCACAAAAGTCCCATGTACTCACCACAAAAGTCCCATGTACTCACCACAAAAGTCCCTGCTTGTGGCGTAGGTGTTGACCGTGGTACTGGGGAATGTGGCGTTGTAGCCGGTTGTCTTGTCATACAGGCTGGTCTCTGGACACATGTCTGTGGTACAGGAGGTTAGTGGGGGTTACTTACATGTCACAATACTGACCACTACATGTCACAATACTGACAACTAACTCACAATACTGACCACTACCTGTCACACTACTGACCACTACCTGTCACAATACTGACAACTAACTCACAATACTGACCACTACCTGTCACAACACTGACCACTACATGTCACAATACTGACCACTACCTGTCACAATACTGACCACTACCTGTCACAACACTGACCACTACATGTCACAATACTGACCACTACCTGTCACAATACTGATCACTACCTGTCACAATACTGACCACTACCTGTCACAATACTGACCACTACCTGTCACAATACTGACCACTACCTGTCACAACACTGACCACTACATGTCACAATACTGACCACTACCTGTCACATTACTGACCACTAACTGTCACAATACTGACCACTACATGTCACAATACTGACCACTACCTGCCACACTACTGACCACTACCTGCCACAATACTGACCACTACCTGTCACAATACTGACCACTACCTGCCACAATACTGACCACTACCTGCCACAATACTGACCACTACCTGCCACAATACTGACCACTACCTGCCACAATACTGACCACTACCTGCCACAATACTGACCACTACCTGCCACAATACTGACCACTAACTGTCACAATACTGACCACTACCTGCCACAATACTGACCACTACCTGCCATAATACTGACCACTACATGTCACAATACTGACCACTACCTGTCACATTACTGACCACTAACTGTCACAATACTGACCACTACATGTCACAATACTGACCACTACCTGCCACACTACTGACCACTACCTGCCACAATACTGACCACTACCTGTCACAATACTGACCACTACCTGCCACAATACTGACCACTACCTGCCACAATACTGACCACTACCTGCCACAATACTGACCACTACCTGCCACAATACTGACCACTACCTGCCACAATACTGACCACTACCTGTCACAATACTGACCACTACCTGTCACAATACTGACCACTACCTGCCACAATACTGACCACTACCTGCCACAATACTGACCACTACCTGCCACAATACTGACCACTACCTGCCACAATACTGACCACTACCTGTCACAATACTGACCACTACCTGTCACAATACTGACCACTATCTGTCACAATACTGACCACTACCTGTCACAATACTGACCACTACCTGCCACAATACTGACCACTACCTGCCACAATACTGACCACTATCTGTCACAATACTGACCACTACCTGTCACAATACTGACCACTACCTGTCACAATACTGACCACTACCTGTCACAATACTGACCACTACCTGTCACAATACTGACCACTACCTGCCACAATACTGACCACTACCTGCCACAATACTGACCACTATCTGTCACAATACTGACCACTACCTGTCACAATACTGACCACTACCTGTCACAATACTGACCACTATCTGTCACAATACTGACCACTACCTGTCACAATACTGACCACTACCTGCCACAATACTGACCACTACCTGTCACAATACTGACCACTACCCATCACAATACTGACCACTACCTGTCACACAAGTGCCCACTGCCTGTCACACAAGTGCCCTACCTGTCATAGAGACTGACACAGCTGATATAAAGGGCAGCGTCACGTTCCACTGGGCACGTATCATGTCCTCGTTCTGCACCAGCGCGTCGTAGAACGAGGACAGGTACATGTCAGCCAAGTTCCCGCGCATGGGCATTGAGAGGTCTCCTGTTGCAATGGTGATGTAAGTCACGAATTCCGTTCGTCCATCCTCTGGGCTGGAACCAATTGTTTGAGAAATTGGTTTTACAATCAGTTTTAAAATGGATCATCAAAAACTTGATTTAATCAGTTTTAAAATGGATCATCAAAAACTTGATTTAATCAGTTTTAAAATGGATCATCAAAAACTTGATTTAATCAGTTTTAGAATGGATCATCAAAAACTTGATTTAATCAGTTTTAAAATGGATCATCAAAAACTTGATTTAATCAGTTTTAAAATGGATAATCAAAAACTTGATTTACGATCAGTTTTAAAATGGATAATCAAAAACTTGATTTACGATCAGTTTTAAAATGGATCATCAAAAACTTGTTTGACTATCAGTTTCAAAATGGATCACCTAAAGCTGATTTTTATTTTTTACAATGATTAAAAAAATGATTGTAAGATGTATGTATACGTTCTTGTAGTGTTAAATTTAGAAATCTGATTAAAACAGTAAATGAAAACCAATAAAAATATATATGACCGAATTAAAATCGGGGAATAAACACCAAAATATGACCACAATGGAATGACACAGAAAAGATGTTTCCAATTATAAATGTCAATGTTTGATACAGCTAATACCTTCTCATATGGGAAAACAATACACGCTAAACGTAGAATAATTAATTTTAACATTTAACATTGAGAAGGGGAAATAACTGAGTAAAAGTTGTTACTCCATCAATCAAGGCAGTGTTAACGCTCTTGAATGTGTTTGACAAAATTAATGAACCACAAGATTCACAAGCAGTTAAACAGCAAAATTTTAATAAGAAGTGGCTATTAGTAAGATTGATTTATTTTAAAACCCCAAGAAACCACGTACCTGGTCCGTTTGATGAAAGTGATGACGTCACGGACGATGGGTAGGACCGCCCTGAGGGTGTGGGTGATGTTCTTGTTCATCACCGCCATCAGCGTCTCCATGCGGGCTGGTAGCCCCACCATCACCCCCATCCTGTTGAATAGCGCCGCCTCCCTGAAGGTGGGGGGCTTTGTTTGAATGACCCCCCTCAGTGTAATCACATCTGCAATATCATGTACACAGTCATTGGGATGGTATGTACACAAAGTTATTGGAATGGCATGTACACAAAGTTATTGGGATGGTATATACACAAAGTTATTGGGATGGCATGTACACAAAGTTATTGGGATGGTATGTACACAAAGTTATTGGGATGGTATGTACACAAAGTTATGGGATGGTATGTACACATTCATTGGGATGGTATGTACACAAAGTTATTGGATGGTATGTACACATTCATTGGGATGGTATGTACACAAAGTTATTGGATGGTATGTACACATTCATTGGGATGGTATGTACACAAAGTTATTGGATGGTATGTACACATTCATTGGGATGGTTTGTACACAAAGTTATTGGGATGTCACATTAGATTAGATGGGGTTGCTTTTGAGCAAATGTAAATAACACTGCCATTGCATATCTTTGTTCCAAGGTTCGTGAATAATCTGCTAAGTGATAAAGAAAACACAACAAGCTTAGCAATTGTCTCTAGACAAAATGATGTCATTCCAGGAGTTTCATTCAATAAATTTAGTATTCAATGTTGTCTTATGGGGAGGGGGAGGGTGTTAAAAATATTATAAACTAGAAGTGGTAATGATCTGTGAAATGGTAGTTTAACTTTATGTAGGGGAGAAACAGGTCAAGTTTAAACCATTTATCACTCACCTGTAAACTTGAGGAAGATCTTATGACACCAAGATCACTTACACATGATCTTATGACACCAAGATCACTTACACATGATCTTATGACACCAAGATCACTTACACATGATCTTATGACACCAAGATCACTCACCTGTAAACTTGAGGAAGATCTCATGACACCAAGATCACCTACCTGTAAACTTGAGGAAGATCTTATGACACCAAGATCACTTACACATGATCTTATGACACCAAGATCACTCACCTGTAAACTTGAGGAAGATCTTATGACACCAAGATCACTCACCTGTAAACTTGAGGAAGATCTTATGACACCAAGATCACTCACCTGTAAACTTGAGGAAGATCTTATGACACCAAGATCACTTACACATGATCTTATGACACCAAGATCAATCACCTGTAAACTTGAGGAAGATCTTATGACACCAAGATCACTCACCTGTAAACTTGAGGAAGATCTTATGACACCAAGATCACTCACCTGTAAACTTGAGGAAGATCTTATGACACCAAGATCACTTACACATGATCTTATGACACCAAGATCACTCACCTGTAAACTTGAGGAAGATCTTATGACACCAAGATCACTTACACATGATCTTATGACACCAAGATCACTCACCTGTAAACTTGAGGAAGATCTTATGACACCAAGATCACTTACACATGATCTTATGAGACCAAGATCCCTCACCTGTAAACTTCAGGAAGATCTTATGACACCAAGATCACTCACCTGTAAACTTGAGGAAGATCTTATGACACCAAGATCACTCACCAGTAAACTTGAGGAAGATCTTATGACACCAAGATCACTTACACAAGATCTTATGACACCAAGATCACTCACCTGTAAACTTGAGGAAGATCTTATGACACCAAGATCACTCACCAGTAAACTTGAGGAAGATCTTATCACACTAAGATCACTTAAACAAGATCTTATTACACCAAGATGACTTACACAATATCTTATTACACCAAGATGACTTACACAAGATCTTATTACACACAAGATCTTCCTCAAGTTTACAGGTGAGTGATCTTGGTGTCATAAGATCTTGTGTAAGTCATCTTGGTGTAATAAGATCGTATGTAAGAGATCTTAGTGTAATAAGATCTCTTACATACCATCTTATTACACCAAGATGACTTACACAAGATCTTATGACACCAAGATCACTCACCTGTAAACTTGAGGAAGATCTTATGATACCAAGATCACCTACCTGTAAACTTGAGGAAGATCTTATGATACCAAGATCACCTACCTGTAAACTTGAGGAAGATCTTGTCAGACACGACCCTGTGAAAGGGCTGGGGCCTCCATATCTCACACCAGTACTCCCCCTGCAGCATGGCCTGTTTGGGGATCCTCGCCCCTCCCTCCCCCACCCTCTCCAGAATGCTGTAGTCGATTTCCAGATTGTTTGGCAGTTCTGAAACAAAATGGCGCGGGTCACGTGTCTAACCAATCATGTGACTAACATTAAAAACGATATATTAATTAGAAAACGAACAGTTTTCAATTTCTTGAAATATTTTGCTCACGTCCATTCCTTTGTCCATAGGATGACCTCTGGTCATCTGTCATGTCAATGAGAGGGCGGCCATCTTTGAACCAAACTATGACCTCATCAAACGCGGACATGCTCAGGGGGCAGGGCAGGGTTTGGGGCTGGAATGACGTCATGTTTTGGACCACGGTCACTGTATTCACTTCAACGTTGTCAGCAAAAGTTTGGACTGGATAGAAAAGTTATACACACGAAAAGTAAAGACACAAAATCTATGAGACGTGATACTCAAAGCTTGAACACATGAATCGTGTTGACATTCATGAGCCCTACCACACGACCTAGGAGATGAAGCATGAGCCCTATAGGAGATGAAGGATGAGCCCTATAGGAGATGAAGGATGAGCCCTATAGGAGATGAAGCATGAGCCCTATAGGCAATGAAGCATAAGCCCTATAGGAGATGAAGTATGAGCCCTACCCCACGACCTAGGGGATGAAGCATGAGCCCTACCCCGCGACCTACAAAATGACGAATGAGCCCTACCAAACTTGGCATCCTTCTGGCAGATGAACGGCAAGCTCAGGTCACACCTGACTTTTTGGATGGTGCCGTCCTCCAACAGTGAGCAGTTGCCGTCTACAGGTAGGTCAAGGTTCAAGGTCGTGTCCAGCCAGATTCTCCTGCCTGGAATTGAGATCAAGACAATATTTTCACAAACTTTTCTAGTGTCTCAACACTCTCCCAGCACTGGCGCCCCAACTCACCCAGACCTCTGGCGCCCCAACTCACGCAGACCTCTGGCGCCCCAACTCACCCAGAACTTTACTGGCTACGAATCCATCGAGCAGCATGGCGGTGATGTTGCCGTAGAAAGAGTTGTCTGCCGTAGCGAGGGTGGCGCCACTTTGCTTACACATCTCGCGAGCTCGAATCTCAGTCAGCAGTGACCCCTGGGGCTTGTAGCACCTGTCCAACAGGCGGTGACCGTACCAGTTCTTGTCGCAGTGGCTCACTGTTAAGTATACCAAATGTCAGAGGTCATGTATGGCTCAGTGGCTCACTGTCAAGTACACCAAAGGTCAAGGGTCATGTATGGCTCAGTGGCTAACAGTCAAGAGAAGTGTGTTGAATAAATGTGAAATTTTTTTCTAGCAATGCTGAAAAATATTTTAAATTTTGTTTCAGGCTAAAATCTAGTTTAATTAAAGCTGAAATTTTGATTCATTAAGGCTATAATATTTATATTACTTATATAGTGAATGCTAAAGCGTATTGCACTATTACAGAACGAGAGCATGCCGCACCCAATGAAAGCTCCTCTATGGCCTCAGACACACAGACAGACGGGTGAATCTCGTCACAGTCCTTCAGTGCCATCACGTCTATCGGCTCCATCAGCTGACTCTGACGCAGCACTGACGCCGCGTCGATGTCAACCTTTTCCGACGACTCGCTAGAGACGGGTTCCATCCTCTCTGTGGAGAAAAGTTCCCAGTCTCTGTTGGTGGGCGTGTCCAGGCTCGGCTTCTCTAGGCTGGCGTCGATCTCCACGCTGATTGGTTCCTTGCGTGGTTCCTCGTTCACCTGGCCAGGTTTGACTGTAGTCGTGTCTCTGCCAGTTTGTATTGTGACGACCGGGGGAGGTTTGGATGTGGTCGAGGTGGGGGGAGACTCGGATGTTGGTTTCTGTGGCGTGGGTGTGGTGGTTGTGGTGGATGTGGTTACTGATGTTGTTGTGGTCTGTGAGGTTGTGGTTGTGGCTGCTGCACTAGCTATCGCTGCGCCGGCTGGAGGATTTAGTGCCGCGCCAAAAAGATCCAGATCAAAACTGCCGAGCATCTTGTTTAGAGATTCGTCAGACTCGGAGCCTAGGTCAAGGTCAATGCTAGAGGTGTCCTGGGTCCTGTTGGCTCGGTGGTGTTTGATGCGGGTGGTGTTTGCTGATGGTGTCACGTCTTCTTCACCACTGTTGCCGTCTGTGGTAGAGTTATCAGACGTTGAGTTGAGATCTAAGGACGTGGGTGACGTCTTGTCTATGGTGCTGGATGAGTTTGAGGAAACGCTGTCTGTGTTTTCTTTAGAGCTATCCAGGTCAAAGCTCAGAGGGGCGGATGTTGTGTTCTGGAGCGGAAGCAGCCGTTGGAGCAAAGGCTCGATTAAAGATTTGATTGGAGGTAGGGTTGCTCTATTTAGGTTGTCGTTAGATTTGAGTAAATCTTTGAGTGATGATGCATTTTTGGACGTAGTTGTAGTTGGGGTTGTTAGTCGTGTTGTGGTTTGTGATGGTGTTGGTTGAGTTGTTGTAGAAGAGGTTGTTTGTGTTGTTGATGTCGATGTCGATGTATCTGTTGTCGTAGACGATGCTTGCTGAGCTGTTGTAGTTGATGTAGATAATGTACTTGTTGGTTCTGTTGTTGATGTGGTTGTCAAAGACTTTGGCGTCGTGTTGAAGAATGACGTCAGACTAAGACTTGCGGTGGGTCTGAGCAGGGTGCTGGGTTTGGGTGACGTCAGAACGAGGCTGGGTCGGGTCTCTGGTGTTTTCTCCTGCATCTGTGTCACGGTGACCCGTGACGTGTTTAGCGGGGGTGGGGTGGTGCTAGTCAGGTTCTGGACGAGTGGGATTTTTGTCGTGGTGGGCGGAAGTTTTGCTGTGGTGTTTTGTTGTTGCATTGTGCGGACCAGTGCCCGCAGCGGGTTGGATGTTGTGTTGGAGGTCCGCGTGCCGGCCATCAGGTTGGGGAGCAGCAGCTGGGCTATCTCGTTACTGTCCCAGCTCTCGGAGGAGAGCAGGGGCGAGCGGGCCTGCTGGATGGCGTGCTGGGTCTCAGAGGCGTAGGCTACCTGCGGCTGGAGGACACGCAGGAGGGGGTCGTCGTGGGCGGCAATGTCGTGGTCGTTGCCGGGGTTGTCCAGGGGACTGCGGAAACTGTCGATGATAGACGCGGGGTCAGGGGTCGTGGTGCCGGAAATCGTGGTGTCAGGGGATGATGACGTAGTCGTCTGTCCGGATGTCTCGTTTGGAGGGGGTGGGGATTTGGTGGTGGCGCCGCTTAAAGCTGTCTTGGCGTCTGTGGGCGTGGCCTGGATGGTGGGCGGCTGCTCGATGTCTTCAAGGTCCGATGGATCGGTGGTTGTTGTTGTGGTGGTCTGCTGACCTCTTGACCCTAGCGTCGATTGGTCGAGTGGTTTAGGAACTTGTCCGCGCTGAAATGAAGTTGAGTCCATGACAATGTCAGCGTTTATAAACATATCAAATCTTTATGTACGGTATGATATTGTGTAACAATTAGAAAATACAAATCAAGCAAATTTACATAATACTACATATTATTAACATCCAATATGACTTAATTATTACCTATCATAATCCCATAATCTACATCGTATAAACTAACGGTAATCTATCGTTTTAGCGTAATCAATTCGGCTGCAGTAGAAATGTGCGGGAGAGGTAACTGATGAATATATTTTTTTATATAAGTATAATTTAAGTCAAATGTTACAAAACATAACAGATAATTGATTTAATATAACAATCACTGACCAAAACAATTTAAAATATCATGAAACTAACTTTAAACAAGGTGTTTGAGATAAATATTAGCAGATAAAAACAGCGGCCATCTTTCCAAATAAAATTTGGAGTAGTTTCCCTTGATACACATGTCTATTCGTATGTATATTGTGTTGATTTTGTTGTTGAATATACATAGCTGTCTTGTATGACGTCATTTATGGGCGATCCATTTAATTAAGCCTAGTTGTTGTTTTTTTGTCTGTAGACATTAGTCTTAGGCCTACACCTTTTCTGAATTAAGATTATTGTGTTTTTTTAAAATAGGTTCAAATTTTAATTAGTTACATTTGAATACCACATGGTTTGTTTTTTTTTTTTTGGGTTTTTTTTCCTTCTGCTATCATCAGTTTTTTTATTTCTTCAGTAGTCAATGTTTACCCCTCCCCACCACACATTATTACAAAAACAAAATACCACCCACTATATATGTCATAGCGTAGATATATAGAGTTAGACTAGACGAGTAGAGGTTACCATAGGACGGTACGAACTTGACAGTAGACGATTTGGTGCGAGAGTATTGTGCGCGTGTTCAATAAAATTTGTGTGGCGTGAGTGTGACGTGAGCATGGTGCGACAATGTACCGATGACGTAAGACGCAGCAGTGAAGTTAGTTGGGGGTTAGATATAGTAGAAGACGGACGTATTTTTTGATATTGTACAAATGATCTATAAGTGTGTGTTAATAAAGTTCATGTTATTTCATAAACGAAGTTGTTGACATTGTTAATTAGTGTCTGCGGAACATAAAACATAAGAGTGATTCCAGTCCTCCTCACGAGTATAATGGTTGCCGTATGAATAGTAGTAGATCAGAATATATTGAGATTATATATAAATCCCCCCCCCCCCCCCCATCACAATATAGTGATATCTCCCTCTAGAAAAAAAAATTAGATGAACCTATAGTTCGTAGGAAAATTAGAATCTATCACTTAAAAAAAAAGAAATACGTCATTTTTCTAAACCACGCCGTTTCATCCCCCAATAAGCACAACGTCACAAAGTTCGCGGCGCGTGTGACGTCATTTGTCATTAGGCTAATGTTTAAGAAAGAGATACCGCGTAATTAAAAAAAAATCAAAACAGGCACTAAATGACCATGACGATGAGACTAGCGACATTTAGCCTGACGAATAGATCTAAATGACTTTAGTTCGGTGAATTATATTGGTGTTTAATTTATTACAGTGGCATGATGTTCTCCCTCTACTATACAAATTCACGTGCTTTTAATTTCTGCAACATGCTGCCCTGAGATGTTCGGCTCTAAAATGCCCGTGACACAGCGGCTTCGGTAAATGCATTTAGGCTCCCGGTCCCACCTATAAACGTCTGTCCATTAAGCTCCACGCAAAACGTGTGATTAATATGTGGACATAAGCGGCGCTAGTGGTGGTGTCAACAGGGGCCAAGCTCAGCTCTTAAAGGTGCTCCGCACTTCATGAAAGACAAAATTAATGTTCAGATATCGTCGGACTCAGGCGTTTTGCCGACGGCCGTACTCCTAATGCACAGTCTTAGAGGCTGTCCACTGCTAACACTATTTTATGTTAAATTTAAGCCAATACTGAGCTGTGGCTTTACATTAGCTCAGTGGCGTAGCGAGGTCGAGTGTCACCTGGTGCAGCACTTAATGGTGTCTTGGACTCTTGTCGAATATTGTTGACAGGAGCTACTTGGTTTGAGCCTTATTGTCAGAAGTTATTTCATTTGGAGTCAATATAGTGCGGCTTATTTTCGTCGGTAGGCATTTAGTGGCAGGCCCTTTTTGGCGGGGATGATGTGCTCAGGTTGTTAAACACCGCTTAGGACAACAGGCATGCAATAGTTATGATCATTCGTTATGAACAAATGTATGCATGAAAACGAACGCTTTATGTTCCTCAATTTCATTGAGCACAGCTTTAAAGATTCCAAAATAGGCGTCACGCATCCCCCCCCCCCCGGACCACCCTGCGTAAGTTGACGGCACATTAGCATAGCATATGTGACATCGTTTATGGATAACACCATATAACTCATTTTGGGTATTTGGTATCAACATTTTGACAACAAAGGTTATTCAAAATGTATATAGGACTTGACATCTACCATAAATGACATCGCACACTTAAGGGGTGGAGTAACTGGTTTTGAGACGACGTTTTACGCGGGAAATGGGAGGGGTAAGAAACGTGAAACGTTATGTATTTCGCCAAATACAAAAATGCTGAATATATCGTTTTCATTAGAATTATGGCTTGACTTTTTAACAGGCAGGGCAAAAAGGTAATTTTCGACATTACGACTATTTCGTAACGGCGAAAATGAGGGGGGGGGGTTAAGGTGAAGAAAGGTCAAAAAACGGGACGTCATTTATGATTAAATCACTAATTAAAGGAAAAAAGCATGAAAATATTACATGAAAATAGCAAACAAACAATAACACAAACAATAAGAATTAACTCAAACTAATATTTAAATAAACATTAGATATGTAGTGGTAGCTCTATAAAAATAGGGAGTATCTTAATGTGTAAAAATTGCATCTCATAATAATAATTCTAGAACTGATGTTTATTGTCAGTCAATTAAATTGTTTAAAGGGCAGAATTTAAAAAAAAAACGCATGCTTTGTATTTAAACACAAGACTAACGTATTTAATAGCAAACATCAATACATTTCCATACAAATAGAAATTAAAGGGAAATGACTCAAAATAATATTTTCTTAAGATGGCCGCTGTTTTTTCCCACGTTTTCTTTAACTTGCTTTCTCTGTTTGTGTGTTTGTCTTTCCAATCAAATCTTGCGATCGAAATTTCTGGCACTTCCCAGTTAGCTAGCGCGCTGAAATTTTCAGGGAAGCTTTCTTTTGGATGACCATTGAATATTCAATTGTTATTATTACTAAATTGATCAATGGAAACATTTTATTGAGCATTTTAGACCGCTATATAATCTATATATATAATTCTCCTCTGCTAGCCATTAGAAAAAAAACCAGCGACGCGTACCTCGCGCGCAGTGAAGCGAACGATCACATGTCGCCACAGGCTTAGGGGCAGAGAATTTAGCTTGAACCGAGTTTAAACTTACAGGAGGTAGGCCAGTTTGGGGGAGACGATATGGTCGAGTGGTTGGGCACACGATTGCTATCCCACTCGACACGGGTTCAAATCTATGTGTTCTAGTCAGTAACGTATTCAAACAACGTGTTTTTTACGAGTTGTCTTTTTACGAGTTGTCTTTTTACGAGTTGTCTTTTTACGAGTTGTCTTTTTACGAGTTGTCTTTTTACGAGTTGTCTTCGTTTACCCAAAAAAAGTGAAAAGATAAAATCGATAGCAAGATTTTAATGCAAACAAACAGACAAAGACTAAAAAGTAGAAAATAATAATCATTAAAAAAGTTTTAAAAAACCCACGTTTTCTGATTGAACTAAAAAGTAGAAAATAAATGCTATAGGCCCTACATCACAATAATGCAAGCGATCACTCTACTATAAGCGAGCAAAAACGTGGGGCGCCGTGATTTTCTTACAGTTTCTAATACTGTTGACTCTCTACAAGCTCCCTAATAAAAGTCAATAGTATTATCTAATCAATAGTAATATAACTTTTACTTCGGCGCCCCACGTTTTTCATCGCTTATAGTAGAGTGATCGCTTGCATTATTGTGATGTAGGGCCTATAGCATTTATTTTCTACTTTTTAGTTCAATCAGAAAACGTGGGTTTTTTAAAACTTTTTTAATGATTATTATTAATAGCAAATTTAGTATCTGGAACATCGATGTTAAACCTTAATTTCATGACATTTTTATTGATTTAAACCTTAAATGTGGTTTAATATTCGATTATCTTTAGTATTTTAGTAAAATATGCAAAAATATATTCACATCTAAGCCATATTTGATAGTTACCTTATCCCTACATTACTAGTGACGGCCGAATTGATTACGCTAAAGCGATAGATTACCTAAACTAACTATAATCTAACTAACGAAACATAATCTTCGATCTAAACAATCTAGCCTATGACGTCATACCCAGCTCTCAGACGTTGAAGCAGCTTGCAGTGTTGGTGCCAGCTTTTCTGTTGGAGCCGTTGGCCGAGCACTGGAACCCGCGCCCTGGCTCGTTGACCCGGGCTTTGTCTGGGGTTTTGGCGTCACTGTGGCCGCGGGGGAGGCGGCCCTGCGCTTGACCACCCGCCTGTCTGCAGGAGCCAGGGCCCTTCTGACCCTGGGATCCCCCAGGTCTAGGGCCCCGCAGGTTTTGTTCCCCAGCCTGTAGGAGCTGGAGTCGAACTTCCAGCCTCGCTTGTTCCATCCGTAGCGCTCGCTCTCTCTGTGGCCAGATCAAAATACAGAAACTTGGTGAACTTTTAAAATGACAAGGCTTGCCACATTGAAACCAATAAATATGATATTTTGGGTAGTTAAAGTTGTTTATCTTTAAAGATAATAGACACATTATAAACCTTTATTATCATCAAACTTATATTTTACCAAAACATATTCATAAGCACTAATCTTATAAGAGATGTTTCAAGTAGTAATCACTTTCCGAGGTGTGCAAGCAATCACCATTACATGATGTATGCAAACATCATCATTACCCGAATTATGCTTTGAGAAACAATCATTACCCGAGGTATGCTTTAAGCATCCGTGGCTTCATCTCGTCCCAGAGCAGCGTGCCGTACTTGTGGTGTACACCTGTCCAGATGGTACGTACACCTGCAACAAACATGAAACAGGTGCGTGAGTAGACTGACCACTGGTCAAAACCCAACATGACACGAAGGGGGGGGGGGGGGTGAGAAGACTGACCACTGGTCAAAACACAGCTAGACACAGGTGCGTGAGAAGACTGACCACTGGTCAAAACCCAACATGACACGAGGGGGGGGGTGAGAAGACTGACCACTGGTCAAAACACAGCTAGACACAGGAGCGTGAGAAGACTGACCACTGGTCAAAACCCAACATGACACGAGGGGGGGGGTGAGAAGACTGACCACTGGTCAAAACACAGCTAGACACAGGTGCGTGAGAAGACTGACCACTGGTCAAAACCCAACATGACACGAGGGGGGGGGGGGGTGAGAAGACTGACCACTGGTCAAAACACAGCTAGACACAGGTGCGTGAGTAGACTGACCACTGGTCAAAACACAACATGACACAGGTGCGTGAGTAGACGGACCACTGGTCAAAACACAACATGACACAGGTGGGTGAGTAGACTGACCACTGGTCAAAACACAGCTAGACACAGGTGCGTGAGTAGACTGACCACTGGTCAAAACACAACATGACACAGGTGCGTGAGTAGACGGACCACTGGTCAAAACACAACATGACACAGGTGGGTGAGTAGACTGACCACTGGTCAAACACACAACATGACACAGGTGCGTGAGTAGACGGACCACTGGTCAAACACACAACATCACACAGGTGCGACAGACCACTGGTCAAAACAAAACATGACAGGTGGGTGAGAAGACTGACCACTGGTCAAAACACAACATGACACAGGTGGGTGAGTAGACTGACCACTGGTCAAACACACAACATCACACAGGTGCGACAGACCACTGGTCAAAACACAACATGACAGGCGCGTGAGTAGACTGACCACTGGTCAAACTCATGACACAGGTGGGTGAGTAGACTGACCACTGGTCAAACTCATGACACAGGTGGATGAGTAGACTGACCACTGGTCAAAACACAACATGACACAGGCGCGTGAGTAGACTGACCACTGGTCAAAACCCAACATCACACAGGTGACAAAACTCAACAAGACACTAGGGGGGGGGGTGAGAAGACTGACTTACCTATGAGGTAATGTCTAGCTTACCTCTCTGCCGCAGGTAATCAAACAGCGACTCCCCGCCCAAGGTGACGATCGAGTCCAGTTTGACCAGAAACGCCCGCCCCGCCCGACACAGTCCCAGAGCCTCCGTCCATCGCCTCTCCAAGTTGACCTTGACACAGATCCTAGACCGGACCAGCTCAAAACCAGCCTTTGGCACGGACGCCGGGAGCCATCCCGGGGGGCAGAGGGCGCGGCCACTACCCACAGCAGACGGTACGAGGGGTAGTTGCTGGGTCAGTGTTGTGGGCCATGGTACCAATACTGGGGAGTTCATTATGGTCAATGTAGGAATTTTGATAAATTAGGTCGAGTCTAATTTCAGTTATCAGTTTGTTGTACTACTCTAGGGTCGTTTATATACACATATTGGGGAGGGGGGGGGTTGTACATGGATAGGCTATACGTTATAGGAAAATTCTTACTAGACAAGTATGTCATAGAATCCACGATGATCACGAAACAAACGGAGAACAAAAACATCAGGTCAAATGAAAATGATGGAATTAGACCTAATCCAAAATTTGACACCCCCCCAGGCGCCGTGACCGACTGCTAGTCACTAGCGGACATCAAAGGGCGGGGGGGGGGGCTGGATTTGTAGTGAGATGACCTGCGGGTAGCTGCTGCTACCTACTACACTAGCTGTAGCTGCTACTACCTCTACACTAGCTGTAGCTGCTGCTACCTCTACACTAGCTACATCCGGATATATGACCGCGTTTTAATTATCCATCTAAGTACGAGCAAGGATCACCAAGTAGGCTAGGTAGACAGTTTGGTTAGGGCTAGTATAGAGGTTATGTACGGAGTTAAAGAAGTTTGTGACTTGAAAAGTTGTCGTTAGCTGCGTGTGGGCATGTCAAGGTATGTCTTTAGTGGGGAGAGGGGAGGGGGGGTGAAACATTTCGCCTATGTAACAGGATGGACGCTGTATGTGTGTGTGTGTGTATGTATGTGTGCATGAGTGTGATAGCTGAACAGGTGGATGTCATGTGACAACCTACATCTGTCACAATGAGGGGTAACTAAAGTACATGTCAGGACCCGAGTGTCGATAGGTCAGGTGAAGTAGAGTTCACCTCATTCACATCGGGACAATGCGATAGCTGGTCTCTATTGAATATGTTGTAACATGCTAAAAATTGTTTACATTTTTTGCATTATCGTCACGTGATGAGTTCAGTAGAAGTTAGAGCTATCAGCTTCAACAGGCTGGGAAAACATGACATGCGAACTCTCTAGGCTAGGAGAAAATTAAAAACATGGGGTCAAGAGGTCAGTGAATGCTCTGCACGGTTCGATGGACTGCCTGATTGTAGCAGATTAATTAGGATTGATGAGATACCGACTGTCAACCTCTTTATTAGCCGGCTAATTAGGTGACGTCACGGATGTTTCTGACACCCATGAGATGGAGATTAATTGGGGAAGATGACAGACAACGACGACATTTTGGCGAATCTTTCATGGGTGAGGGCCCCAAGTTGGGGGGGGGGGACCCAGTTTAGTGGTGTTTTGTACAGGATCGGGGCGGTGGGGTGGGGCGTGGGTGGGGTGGGGCGTGGGGTGGGGTGTGTGGTGGTGTGGGGCGTGGGATAAGGCGTGAGGCGTGGGATAAGGCGTGGGGTGGGGCGTAAAACCCCAAGTTGGGGAGACGAAGTTTAGTGGCGTTTTGTACATGATTTCTGCTAGTATCTCTAATCTGAACATAATCCTCGACTATCCAAATCGTGGCCATAGTAGCGTCAACAGCGTATAATTAAATCTTCACAGTTGGACTATGTTATTTTCACATGATTACATTAATTACATCAACAATTATTACATTAGTTTTTACACCAATTGGAAGATCAATTCTTACACTAATTATTGAGTCTATCCATTTGAACTTTTCCTGGTGTTTAGATACAAAGGGAAGTATAAAAACAAAGTGTCTTACTATAATTTGTATTCTATTTTAATATTTCTTAATTAGCGTCACCATTCCTAATTAACTTAACTGACAACCAGATTAACCAGGATTAAGGATGTGTTGTACAACAGATTAGTACACTGACTTGTACAGGAAGTGTACAAAGTTTGAAGATACAGTGTACATAATGTTTGTGTTAAACTGTGTGTGTACAAAATGTCTGGAGAATGTTATGCGTAGCGGGGGGGGGGGGGGGTGCGGAACGCACCCGGTGACACCATTTAGGTGGTGACGCAAAGACAAATAATAGTAAAATATATAGAGAAAAATTTGAGGGGGGTGGAAATCGAAAGTTTGAGGGGGGGGGGGGTGCAAATCGAAAATTGAAACTTTGTCCCCGGGAAGAGTCGCTACGCCTCTGGGGGGGGGGGGGGGGGGTGACACCATTACGTACCGCACCGAGTGACACCCGACCTCGCTACGCCACTGTGTGTACATAACATATCAATTACGCAGTGTAGAGTGTATTTATATGTGTACATAACATATCAATTATGTAGTGTATAGTGTATTTCTGTGTACATAACATATCAATTATGTAGTGTATAGAGTGTATTTATATGTGTACATAACATATCAATGATGTAGTGTATAGAGTGTATTTATATGTGTACATAACATATCAATGATGTAGTGTATAGAGTGTATTTATATGTGTACATAACATATCAATGATGTAGTGTATAGAGTGTATTTATATGTGTACATAACATATCAATGATGTAGTGTATAGAGTGTATTTATATGTGTACATAACATATCAATGATGTAGTGTATAGAGTGTATTTATATGTGTACATAACATATCAATGATGTAGTGTAGAGTGTATTTATATGTGTACATAACATATCAGTTATGCAGTGTATAGAGTGTATTTATATGTGTACATAACATCAGGTATGCAGTGTATAGAGTGTCTTAATGTGTGTACATAACATATCAGTTATGCAGTGTATAGAGTGCATTTCTATGTGTACATAACATCAGGTATGCAGTGTATAGAGTGTATTGCTGTGTGTACATAGTGTGGCTGGTAATAATGTTGGACGAGTGTGTAATGTGTTGGATGTGAATACTGTGTGTTCAATGTGTATTGCGCTTGGTGTGTATTTATTGTACACAGTGTCTAAAGTGTGTACTGTAGTGTGTACTGTAGTGTGTATACAGATATGAGAGTGCATGGCGTAAATAGGGTGTTGTTTGTGTAGAATCCTTTATCGAGAGTTTATGTGTTTGTGTTTAACCCATCCGCGGTGTGTATGTTACGTGTAGATTGTGTCAAGTTTGCACAGTGTTTAAAGTACATATGACACGAGTGTGTAGTGTGTAGTGTGTAGCGTGTAGTGTGTAGTGTGTAGTGTCTTGTGTGTAGTGTATAGTGTGAAGTGTGTTGTGTGTATTGTGTAGCGTGTATCCCTGCTGGGTGTGTACAGGTCCGCCTTGTTAAAATGTCCAGCCAATTAATCTGGCCATTTGTTAAGTGTGACAACCACACTCTACAACCTGCATCAAAACCTCATTAAAACGGCATTTGAAGGTCAGGGGAGAAAGTAGGTCACCGAAGGACGTCATCTTACACCTGACTCTGGACAGTATAGACAATGACGTCACGTACGTCTTGCGTCGAAAATTTGTGTTCAAATATTGGACGATACGTGTTTCTGACGCAGCTACAGTCACTACAAGTAATGAAATTTGAGATGTGGCAGAACTGGGTAGAGGCCGACTACAAACATGTTAAGGGGCATGTTTGCCTGGTGGGGAATTCATATTTTAAACCATCATCCCAGATTTAGATTATTTATCCCAATCAGATTTTGATTATTTATCCCCATCAGATTTTTACTATTCATCCCACTCATAATGTTGAGGTGAACGGAAAAAAAGTCACAGGAAAAAAAAAACACAAAAAAGTCACAGTTTTTGCTAGGAACAAAAGTCACAGAAAAAAAGTCACAGTGGAAAAATTTTATCGGAAAAAAAGTCACAGAAATAAAGTCACAGAAAAAAGGTCACAAAAATCTTTTTAGAAATCTTTTTATTAATTTGTTAAGAATTGTAAAATTTTGTATGTTTATTGTTGTGGGTTGTATATTTTGATAGCATAAATTATTTATAGACGTTAAAAGCATTATGATTTATAACAATTGTAAGTAAAAAATACTCTAAGATAATTAACACAACAATCTCAACTTTTGTTACGTATTTAGTTAAATAAGCGGTAGAAAAGTTAATTATAAAAGAAATTTAGGCACATTTTGCCGTAGGCTATTCTCTGGTCGGACTCTCCTCAGTAGGCATTGTCCGAACATATTTTGTGTTGTTGACGTTATTCGTCAACGACAGCCTTTGAACCTTGTCGGCTTTCTGTTTTGATCCTAAATTTTGTTATGTAATGAGCGTGATAAATGTTGGCAGTAAAGGTGGTTGAACTAAACATAACTATTGTTGCCATGAGTTGAGGGCAGCAAGTCAGATGAACTTACCATTTCACGGTAATTTAATATTGGTATTTAAAAAAAAAACACGATGAAAACCGTGGACTTTAGAGCATTCTATTAAATGCTACTAATCTTAAGTTTAAAATAATTAGAATCTACATACTTCATAATAAATATTTTTAGATGAATTATAAAAATTCATATGCGTATACAGCCTACAAACATTACATTACATTTAATTAATCCTAAGTTAATTTGCTCTCTCTAAATATTTAATCGCATCATCATTGAACAGACCCAAGAGTGGAACTCATCTCTCTATATTAATTTCATAGACTATGAGAAGGCCTTTGATAGCCTGGATAGGCAGTCAATGTGGAAATTGTTGAGACACTACGGGGTGCCACAGAAAATAGTCAACATTATTATGTCTTCATATGAAGGTCTCAAATGTAGAGTAGTGCATGGCCAACAGACTACAGAGGCCTTCCCAGTACGGACCGGAGTAAGGCAGGGTTGCCTACTTTCACCATTCCTGTTCCTACTGGCCATAGACTGGATTATGAAGATGTCAACAGAGAAAACGCGAAACGGTATACAGTGGACATTGTGGAGCCAGCTGGATGACCTGGACTTTGCTGACGACCTGGCCCTCCTTTCTCACACACAACAGCAAATGCAGGATAAAACCAACAGGGTTGCAAATTTTTCTACAAGCCTGGGTCTGAACATCCACAGAGGGAAAAGTAAAGTTCTCAAAGTCAATGCATCAAACAACAACCCTATAACACTGGCAGAAGAAGCCCTAGAAGAAGTGGATAGATTCACCTACCTTGGAAGTATTGTTGATAAGCAGGGTGGGACAGAAGCAGACATAAAAATAAGGACGGGTAAGGCAAGAGCAGTCTTCAACCAACTAAAAAATGTTTGGGGTTCGGGAGATTTAACCCTTAGAATAAAAATCCGGATCTTCAACACACTAGTAAAACCTGTTTTACTCTATGGAGCCGAGACATGGAGAATAACTGCTATAAATAAGAAGAAAATACAATCATTTATAAACGCATGTCTCAGAAAGATCCTGCGAATTCGCTGGCCTAAAACCATCAGAAATGATGTTCTATGGCAACGGACAAATCAACTGCCAGTGGAAGTAGAGATCCTCCAGAGAAAATGGAAATGGATTGGCCACACACTCAGGAAGCCTGTATCCAGCATAACAAGACAGGCCCTCACCTGGAATTCACAAGGCAGGAGGAGGAGAGGCAGACCAAGAAAGACCTGGAGACGTGACCTGGAAGAAGACACCAAGAAGATTGGATACACCTGGGGACAGTTGGAGAGACTAGCCCTGGACAGAGACGTCTGGAAAGCTCTTGTCAGCGGCCTATGTCCCAGTAGGGACGACAGGCAAACATGACATGACATGAAATATTTAATACATAAAAGTATCAACAAATATCATGAAAATATATATTTGTGACTTTTTTTCCTGTGACTTTTTTTCCTGTGACTTTTTTCCTGTGACTTATTTTCTGTGTTTTTTTTTTCCTGTGTTTTTTTTTCCTGTGACTTTTTTTCCTACTATCAATGTTGATTATTATTCAGATATTGATTATTTAACCCAATCCGTTTTAACAATAATCAGATGTTTATTATTTATCTTAATACATTTTGATTATTTAACCCACTCAGATTTTGATTATTTATTCCAATAAGGGTCTGCGTGTTCGGACGAGAAACCGCTTAGCTTCTAACCTGAAAAGTCCCGAGTTCGAATCCCCAGGAAGATGAGGCTCTTTAGCTAAGGACAGCAACCCATCCAGGAGAAATAACTCAGAAATGAAACAGGAATGGCGCCCCTTAGGTGCTAGGATTACCAACTCTGGTTTCATTTAGCAGACCCTGGTGCCAAGCTGTCTTGGTGACGCCTCTTCCTTGGGCCCAACAGATAAATTTATCCCAAACCAATTTCGGCCACTTCGAACACGCAGATTTCAGATGACGACATACTTCATGACGAGAAAAAAAAACTTTCAATTTTTTACGGCATGTTTTTTTTTTAGCGTTCTTGTAGGTCTACCATAACATGGGCCATTTTTGTTATCCATTTGCATTATCATATCCATAATGATCATCATATCCATATGGATCATCGGTTTGAACCCACCCACCCCCCACCTTGTAATAAAATCCTCTTACGACGCTTATTTTCGCTAATTAATCATTAAGCTTTAATTCTTTGATCTAAATTAAGATGATGACGTATGACCATAAAAGCACAGACGTCATGACAGCAAGCTCGTGCTCATTAACATAAACTTTGAGCTATTTCCGGCAACATCAGAAATACTTGATGGCATTTGATGGCATTTGATGAAATGATCTATTTTTAGCTTCCAAAATAATAGGCTGTCCTCAGTATGACGTAACGTATTTTAAAGCTAAAAATATTTTAATTAACCAGGGCTAAATATACGTACAGTTAAATTTTAATATGTAAACATACAATTAAAATGGGAGCTTGGATGTGTGTTTGGGGGGGGGGGGGGGTTGAGAACGGATATTACAAAATGACGTAACGTGTTTTAAGGCTAAAAATAATTTAACTAACGAGGGCTAAATATATGTACATCAAACTTTTTAATATGTAAACTTAAAATGAAGATGGAATATTCGGTGCGTGGTGGGGGGGGGGGAGGTTACAAAATTAAAGACACGACTCCGTGCTTCTCAAAATATAAGTGACCTTGAAATAATTGACCTTGAAATCTAAGCCCAGCCAACAGCGATCATGCGATTTCTTACATTTTTGTTACTATAAATAGATTTTCCCTATATTATACATCAAAGGATTTTAAAAGGAGAAAAAAGTTCGCCTTTAGGCAGGATTCAATAAACTACGGGGTTAATGTTGGGTTAAACACGGAGTTAGTGTTAGGCTAAACATGGGGTTGGCGTTAAGAACTGACACGTTAGTTTAGTACGGGTTGGGTTTAGGTACTCAGATGAGTAGCAAGATTATTGTCAGGGTTGGTTGATTAAGGGGTGGGGTTAGATCATCGGGTGTGGGGGGGGGGGGGGGGGGCGACGTTGGATTGTCAGGGTGGGGGGGGTGGCAGAAGATCAGGAGCGGGTGATGTGGTAGGGATGGTGTTGGACGATGAGGGGGGTATCGGGTTGTATGATGGGGCATTATTGGTCACGCTTGAGTGAGTTATCTAAGTATAAACACAGACTATGAGACAGACCATAACAGACAGACCATAACAGACAGACCGCGACAGACATAACATGACATGACAGACAGACTATGACAGATAGACTATGACAGATAGACCATGACAGACAGACCATGACAGATAGACCATGACAGACAGACTATGACAGACAGACTATGACAGACAGACTATGACAGACAGATCATGACAGACAGACCATGACAGACAGACCATAACAGACAGACCACGACAGACAGACTATGACAGACAGATCATGACAGATAGACCATGACAGACAGACCATGACTGACAGACCACGACAGACAGACCATGACAGACAGACTATGACAGACAGACCATGACAGACAGACCATGACAGACGGACTATGACAGACACCAGACGAACCTGCTAATAGAATCAGTATCCAAATATTCCCGCTTGGTTGATTCAACATTGCTCATCCTTGACGGATCATCGTCTGTAATTAATTAGTAATCAATTAATTAACTGACAGGACGCTTAACAACGAGGACTGGACCTTACCTGGGCAGTCGCTACTAAGCTTGTTAGCTAGTTTACAAAACGTGTTAGCTAGTTTACAAAACATTTCAGCTAGTTTAGAAAACGTATCAGCTAGTTTACAAAACTTGTCAGCTAGTTTCGAAAACTTGTTACTTGGTTCACACAACTTGTTAGTTGGTTTACTTACAAAACTTGTAGAAAAACACATCAAAATTGTAAGATTATTTTTGTTTTAATTTCACATTATTTTTAAAAAGTATCTAATCCCTGTCAAATGATTAACGTGTTTCTGGCGATTTAAAACTAGATCAATATACAAATTCAACAAACATGTTGTATGTGTGGATACTAGATGTCAACAAAGATGTTGATATTAATATCAACAGAAATATTGATACTAGTTCTCAACAAATAAGTTTTTTTAACAAAGATTTTGGAATTTCTTTGCAGTAATTTAATTCATTACAATGTTTCTGTAAATAAAAAAAATAAAAACCTTAAACGAAACAACCTTCTAACGAAACCACCAATAAAACACACCCAACAAGCAGGACAACAACAGTACTAAAAGACGTAGTTCAACATTCTTACTTTAGTTAGAACAGTCTCATTTCTTTAGCTACACTATCTTTACTTTAACTACAGTATGTTTACGATAGCTACACTATCTTTACTTTAGCTACACTATCTTTACTTAAACTACAGAATCTTTACTATAGCCACAGTATCTTTACTTTAGCCACAATATCTTTACTTTAGCTACACTATCTTTACTTTAGCTACACTATCTTTACTTTAGCTAACGTATTTTTACTTTAGCTACACTATCTTTACTTTAGCTACAGTATCTTTACTTTAGCTACACTATCTTTACTTTAGCTACACTATCTTTACTTTAGCTACACTATCTTTACTTTAGCTACATTATCTTTACTTTAGCTACATTATCTTTACTTTAGCTACACTATCTTTACATTAGCTAACGTATTTTTACTTTAGCTACATTATCTTTACTTTAGCCACACTATCTTTACTTTAGATACACTATCTTTACTTTAGCTACACTATCTTTACTTTAGCTACAGTATCTTTACTTTAGCTACAGTATCTTTACTTTAGCTACACTATCTTTACTTTAGCTACAGTATCTTTAGATTCTTTACTATAGCTAAACCATCTTTACTTTAGCTACAATATCTTTACTTTAGCCACACTATCTTTACTTTAGCTACAGTATCTTTACTTTAGCTACACTATCTTTACTTTAGCTACAGTATCTTTAGATTCTTTACTATAGCTACACTATCTTTACTTTAGCTACACTATCTTTACTTTAGCTACACTATCTTTACTTTAGCTACACTATCTTTACTTTAGCTACACTATCTTTACTTTAGCTACACTATCTTTACTATAGCTACACTATCTTTACTTTAGCTACACTATCTTTACTTTAGCTACACTATCTTTACTAAAGCTACACTATCTTTACTTTAGCTACACTATTTTTACTTTAGCTACACTATCTTTACTTTAGCTACACTATCTTTACTTTAGCTACACTATTTTTACTTTAGCTACACTATCTTTACTATAGCTACGGTATGTTTACTTTAGCTACAGTATCTTTACTTTAACTACATTATCTTTACTATAGCTACGGTATCTTTACTAAAGCTACACTATCTTTACTTAAACTACAGAATCTTTACTATAGATACACTATCTTTACTTTAGCTACACTATCTTTACTTTAGCTACACTATCTTTACTTTAGCTACACTATCTTTACTTTACTATCTTTAGCTACACTATCTTTACTTTAGCTACACTATCTTTACTTTAGCTACACTATCTTTACTTTAGCTACACTATTTTTACTTTAGCTACACTATCTTTACTATAGCTACGGTATGTTTACTTTAGCTACAGTATCTTTACTTTAACTACATTATCTTTACTATAGCTACGGTATCTTTACTAAAGCTACACTATCTTTACTTAAACTACAGAATCTTTACCATAGATACACTATCTTTACTTTAGCTACACTATCTTTACTTTAGCTACACTATCTTTACTTTAGCTACACTATCTTTACTTTACTATCTTTAGCTACACTATCTTTACTTTAGCTACAGTATCTTTAGATTCTTTACTATAGCTACACCATCTTTACTTTAGCTACAATATCTTTACTTTAGCCACACTATCTTTACTTTAGCTACAGTATCTTTACTTTAGCTACACTATCTTTACTTTAGCTACAGTATCTTTAGATTCTTTACTATAGCTACACTATCTTTACTTTAGCTACACTATCTTTACTTTAGCTACACTATCTTTACTTTAGCTACACTATCTTTACTTTAGCTACACTATCTTTACTTTAGCTACACTATCTTTACTATAGCTACACTATCTTTACTTTAGCTACACTATCTTTACTTTAGCTACACTATCTTTACTAAAGCTACACTATCTTTACTTTAGCTACACTATTTTTACTTTAGCTACACTATCTTTACTTTAGCTACACTATCTTTACTTTAGCTACACTATTTTTACTTTAGCTACACTATCTTTACTATAGCTACGGTATGTTTACTTTAGCTACAGTATCTTTACTTTAACTACATTATCTTTACTATAGCTACGGTATCTTTACTAAAGCTACACTATCTTTACTTAAACTACAGAATCTTTACTATAGATACACTATCTTTACTTTAGCTACACTATCTTTACTTTAGCTACACTATCTTTACTTTACTATCTTTAGCTACACTATCTTTACTTTAGCTACACTATCTTTACTTTAGCTACACTATCTTTACTTTAGCTACACTATTTTTACTTTAGCTACACTATCTTTACTATAGCTACTGTATGTTTACTTTAGCTACAGTATCTTTACTTTAACTACATTATCTTTACTATAGCTACGGTATCTTTACTAAAGCTACACTATCTTTACTTAAACTACAGAATCTTTACCATAGATACACTATCTTTACTTTAGCTACACTATCTTTACTTTAGCTACACTATCTTTACTTTAGCTACACTATCTTTACTTTACTATCTTTAGCTACACTATCTTTACTTTAGCTACACTATCTTTACTTTAGCTACACTATCTTTACTTTAGCTACACTATCTTTACTTTAGCTACACTATCTTTACTATAACTACATTATCTTTACTTTAGCTACACTATCTTTACTTTACTATCTTTAGCTACACTATCTTTACTTTAGCTACGGTATCTTTACTTTATCAAAGATATCTTTACTTTAACACAAAGTACTATTCTTACATTCCACCCTATAATGTAGCTTACATAAGGTCCTTACTTGACTTACACCCCTAGTCTGTGTGAAGAAGATGAATCGCTTGTTTTGAAATCTGCCTGCATTTCTTGGTTGGTAAAGCTATTTTTAGACGTTTACTTTTCCTTAAAACGGGACAAAACAACGTAACAACGAACGGGAAACAAGAATTTAGGCAACAAATAACATGTTTACGTAACAACAATTGGAAAAAGAAAACAGTTTTAGGTGAAGCTAAATGTTTACCTAATTCGATCTTCCGTCCACACCACACACCACACCACACACCACACCACACACCACACCCACACACTGACAAAGTCTGTGGGGGTGGGGGCTGTTAATCCACAGAATAGGTTAAATAATCCAGGAACAATTAAATCCACAGAGAATTATCCGAGTGTTACAGTCTAGAGAGCGAAGATTTACTCGGTTCAATCTATCACTAACACAACTTCTTAATCACACAATTAGGCTATACAGGAAGTTTACAAAAAAAAAATAAAAAAATAAAAGCTAAATTTAATTAGAAACATATTAGCAATCACTGTCTACAAAAATCTAGAAAAATTACAATCAAAACGTTATCAAATCAAATGAATGTTTACCAAGTATTATTGTTTATTTATCTCAGTGCAGAGAGTACGGTAGATCAGAGACCAAACTACATCAAATCACGTTCACCTAACCGTGGGATTGGGTTGGGGGAGGGGGGTGGTGCTTGGTTTTGCTACAGATCTGCCCACCCAATATCCCATAAAGTAGATGTCACTTTTGTCAGAAGATGAATTTGTGAATCGAGTCCCAGCAGTAAAAAAAAACCTTGAATCAACCCTGTCCAAATACACAGCACAGTCAGAACACTTTGATCTAAATTTAGCGGATAACATCTACAGGCTATTTTAACTACCGACGTTACTAGCTGCAGCTAGAGATAACAGTAGCTGCAGCCGTCAAGCTATACTTCACAGCTAGAGCTAAGAGCCGCTCACACGATGAAATCTAGGAGGGACAGAATGAACTCCACTCGACTCTTGGTCAACAGTGGCACCCCCCCCCACCCCCCTCCCCCACCCCCCGGGCCGTCGATGTAGCACGGACCCCCGGGATATAACTAGAGCACGGTGTGTTTACATAGCGGGTCACGTGATGAGGTACACGGCGATCAGATCTACTAATCCGCTACAAGATTAAAAACAAATTCCTGCGACCGTTAACCCAGGGCCCTAGGGCATGTCAGACCCGGGCGCTTACACCACTTACACATGTAATCTTCGCTTACAGATATCATTCACTTCATGTTTGCTTCGTTACAGATCCCTCGAATACTTGAAGTTATATCCACAAACTTTCCAGAACATGAAAATCTTACACTCCTTATCTGATGTAAGTCAATTAAGAACTGACCAAGTAGCCAGGTATAGTTTCAAATCTCTGTAGATTTCCACAAAACGGCTTTACCTATGGCAAGTTAGGGGACGCTCCCACATGCAGCACATACGTCGATCACTGCTACATGCGAGGTTTCCGAACTGTACGTTGATATAGCAACCAAATTTAGCTGGGTGTTGTGAACTGAACACTTAGGTTGTAGTCGATGTTAAAAACAGCTAAATGTATGACCTAATATTTTTATCTCAACCATTTAAAATCTAAAACGATAAAAGCTGCATTACGCCAGTATGACCTTGTCGAAAGCGACCTAGCGCACAAGCCTGTAGCAGAATTAAACTTTCAAAAAACGACGTACACTTCTGCTTGTCTTACCTGACGACATCTTGACGGCATGAGTTATTGCCCTTCCTCACCTCTGTCTTCTTCCTCCTTTTTCACCACAGGTCTAACACTCCTCCCTTTCAACACTCCAACACTCCTCCCTTCCAACACTCCTCCCATCCAACACTCCTCCCATCCAACACTCCTCCCATCTAACATTCCTCCCATCCAACACTCCTCCCATCCAACACTCCTCCCATCCAACACTCCTCCCATCCAACACTCCTCCCATCTAACATTCCTCCCATCCAACACTCCTCCCATCCAACACTCCTCCCATCCAACACTCCTCCCATCCAACACTCCTCCCATCCAACACACCTTTCATTTAACACTTAAACAACACCTTAAATGTCCTCATTAATTTGAATGATTGCCTATTTCTCACCTTCTTATATTGTTGTACCCCACACCCCCCTCACAAACGTAGATGACTAAATGGTGACACCATCTGTGACAGGAGTACCAAAGGTGACTAAATGGTGACAAGACAAGATCGTGTCTGTAAAGTCACATGACTAAACTGCTGAATACAAAAAAATTGTAAAGCTCTTTCAACTGCCTTATTTGTAATATCAAATGAACACTACGGGTTGTTTTTTTTTTGGGGGGGGGGGGGGTTAGTTTTTTTTATGTTTATTTTTTTTTTTTTTTTGAGTTTAAATTTAATAGTATTTGAAAATATAATTTTAAAAGTTAATTTGTTGACTAAACTTTTGTTAAAGGGAGGCTATTCCTTAAACGCTTATTGTTTGTTGTTTTCTTGGGTTATCTAACTTGCCGTATAACAGGGAGTGCGAGATCAAGGGGGCTAACTCCATATAAATTGTGGAGTTGCTATTTTTCGAGTTACCCAACCTAGCGAATAAAACAGGTTTTTAATAGCGAGCGTGCTGAGTCAAAACAGCCCCTACAAATCGACCAAGTCAAAAGAGTAAACGACTAATGGACTCATCGTATAGACTCCGACATTTTATCCCAACTTGTCAGGTACCCATCAGAGCTGGGTGGAGTTGAGTCAGGTACCCATCAGAGCTGGGTGGAGTTGAGTCAGGTACCCATCAAAGTTGGGTGGACTAGAGTCAGGTACCCATCAGAGCTGGGTGGAGTTGAGTCAGGTACCCATCAGAGTTGGGTGGACTAGAGTCAGGTATCAGAGTTGGGTGGAGTAGAGTCAAGCACCCATCAGAGCTGGGTGCACTTAGTGGAACAGCTGTATGGTGCTGGCTTACATCCATGTGAGTAGATTTTAAAGATGCATTTATTGAAATATTTTTTGCAGTTTCCTGCAGACACAACAGCCTGATACAAACTGGTACAAAAGTGTACTGCAAGATGGTAAGTCACTGTAAGACAAGGTGAATGACTAGAGATGTCATTACATGACTAGGTAAATGACTACAAGTTAGTTAACCATTTCTCATGGTGCAATAAAAAAAGTCAAGACTCAGTGAAACATGAACATTGTGTTTTAATGTTTAACAATTTGAACATTTGACATGGTAATCAAATTCATTTCATTAGCTAAATTTGTCTTAAATAAAATATCAATTTAAAAAACAAACTATTCACAGTCAAGCCACAGCCTCAATAAAACAACTGTACAAGCAGGTCTGGTTGGTTTCTAGACAAGTCTAGGACTAACCGACAAGTCTTAATAAGATTGGCAAGTTTTATGAAACTGACAAGTCTCTATATTATTGCCAAGTCTTAATAAAACTGACAAGTCTCAATAAGATTGGCAAGTTTTATGAAACTGACAAGTCTCAATATTATTGGCAAGTCTTAATAAAACTGACAAGTCTCAATATTATTGGCAAGTCTTAATAAAACTGACAAGTCTCAATAAGATTGGCAAGTCTTAATAAAACTGACAAGGATTATACTGCTAAGTCTGATACTGAATGACAAACAAGGTAATATAATTTAAAAAAATTAATTAATTGCCATTAAAAGAAAACAAAACTAGCTTTGTGAGCTGCAATACTACTTGTTGCATGAAGAAATGCTCTGTTGACTGCACATATAGTGTAAACTAACAGAACACAGAAATGTAACACAAAAACACATAGCACTTGTTATAGCCTGAAAGCTATAACAAATGTAATACTACTCAACTACTGCATTGTTATACAAATTATAACAAACATAATACTTAAACTAGTGCATTGGTACAAGTTGTTGTTTTGTTACTTTAACTAGGAAACATTTGAAAGAATATTGTGAAGAAAATGTTTACAACAAAATTAGTGCAAAGGAGAATCTTTGTTTCAACCAAGTCATCTCCCCTTGTACACAGAGTAACCATTCATGTGTCAGTACAATGGTAACCCTGCACAATCTACACACTAAACAAGTTTAGCCTACACACAGGGTAGCCCACAGACAGGTAGCCTACACACAGGGTAGCCCACAGACAGGTAGCCTACACACAGGGTAGCCTACACACAGGGTAGCCCACTGACAGGGTAGCCTATAGACAGGGTAGCCCACAGACATGTAGCCCACAGACTAGCTCAGAGACAGGGTAGCCTAGTTACAGGGTAACTTACATATTGGGTATATTATATACAGAGAGAAGGCTCACAGTCAGAATAACACAGTCAAAAAATGAAACAAATGCTGTACAAATGAAGAAAACTATTGACAACAGAATGCTGTACAAATGATGAAATCTATTGACAACAGAATCCTGTACAACTGATGAAATCTCTTGACAACAGACTACTGTACAACTGAGACATCATCAGCCCAATCAAAAACATCCAGATGTGGTGCCTGCATATCCAGTGCAACATCCTCCAGTGGTTCAAACATTGGTGACATACAAAGCTTGTGATTGGTCAATCCCATGTGACCCAACCAATCACATTAAGCCTACAACAATGGTGGACTGGATAGCTTGCTTGATCAGTGAAACAAATTTGAATTTGGTGGAACAGATGTGGTCAAGTTAACTGCTTGGGAACTGTCTCAAGCTACCACACCATCAAACATCCCCTGACGCGGCCACAACAACCTAGTATCCAGGACAGTGAGAGCCTCTGATGCAACTGAAGGATGATTTGTTTCTGGCTAAAATAGACATTTTTGGGCTCTATGACCCAGAGCTTGTCTGAACTCAAGTCACATGACTCACAGCTATTTTTAACCTGAGTGCAAATTATAACACAGATAAAGCCATGCTTTAATCCAGTGATTAAGGTGAAAACAGAAGCATAATAAAAGCAGAACTACTAATCCACCTAATCCTAAATGACTGGTCCTCAGCTCACATGGATGTCAACATCTGTTTGTTGGAACTTCACTTCCCAGCAACAATCACTGACCTCAATCTTAACCCCAACTGGCATCAAAGCAACACACATTTCTGTCAACATGGATCATACACCCAGCCTTCAAGTTCTAGTGCTGTGTGTGTGAGGTGTGTGTGAGGTATGTACTCCCACACATCTGAACACACAGCTGTGTGAGCTGTTTACCCCCACACATTGTTCCCATCTCTCTCAGTATTTACACATCTAGAGATGATGGTGTAGATATTGGCCTGCCCTGCTAACTGCCATCTAGCTCTGCTATGATGATTCATCAAATGAGTTTCCCCACAAAAGTATTTTTAGCTTGGGTTTTGAAGAAGTGACAATCCTTAGGCGATACCTGAAAAATAAACAAAATCTGTCATACATTGTGTACTGTTTAATTATCTTAAAATATCCTTCATGGTATATCTAATTTAAAACTTCAAACACCAAAACAAAAACTAATCATCAATCCATGCACCAAATGACACCACTATATAACACAACCCACACAAAAAAAGACTACCCACTCAACGAATGACCCACCCACACAAAAAAAATGACTCCACCCATACATCAAACAACCACAAAGATGTAACAAATTCACCCCCCATCCCTCTAACAAATCATCCCCCACCCCACTATAGAAGAAATGAGAAGCAATGAGCCAACCTGAGGTTGTCCACCGTGGCTGAAGGGTTGCTGAACTCCCTGCCCAGCCGGTTGTAGCAAAGCTTCATGTGGTCAATGGATGTGTTCTTCTCCAGTACATCCAGCAGTTTAGAGAAGCCATCATTGGTGATGCCACACATGTTCAGGCCCAGGTTCTGGAACAATACAGGTAAGTCAGGTCAACAGGTGACAATTGTACAGGTGAGTCAGGAACAGGGCATTCCCCCCCCCCATCAATTACCCCCCCCCCCCCGGAGTAATTACCCCCTGTCAATTACCCCCCCCCCCCCCCGGACAGGTTAGAGTTAGGGTTAGGGCTAGGTTTAAGGCTAGGGCTAGGGTTAGGGTAAGGTTTATTGCTAGGGTTAGGGTTAGGTTTAGGGTTAGGCTTAAAACAATGTTAAACGTTAGTTTTGGTTTTGTGTTGTCTTAGGCTAAGGTGGATGCTTAGCTTTTGGTCTTTTTCTTAAGGTTAGGATTAAAGTAGTATATAGGTATAGAATTCTAATTAAGGATTCTAACTTGAGAGGGGGGGTAATTGACAGGGGGTTATTGACAGGTGGGTAATTGCTCCGGGGGGGGGGGAATTACGGGGAAATGTCCGGGGGGGGGGGGAGGGGGTAATGTCCTGTAGCCAGATAAGTCAGACCAACACTTCTATATAAGCCTGGGCCTAGCAGTGCCAGACGCTGTATGACAGACTGTACAAGCCCAACCTACCTGCAAGGTTGACGACCTCTCTATGGCAGCCGCCAGCTTGAAGATACCAGCGTCCATCAGCAGGTTGGTGCTGAGGTCCAGGTGCCGCAGCTTCTTGCAGTGTGTGACCAGCTCGGCCAGAGCCTCGCAGCCAGCGCTGGTGATGCCACAGTTCTCCACACACAGCTCACTGACACTAGACTCTGGCAGGAATTTGGCCAGTGCCTACAGCAGACAACAAATAACTCATTTGGAAACCAATGAACTGACTACAAGAAATTACACTGTCATTTGGAAACCAATGGACTGACTATAAGAAATTACACTGTCATTTGGAAACCAATGGATTGACTACAAGAAATTACACTGTCATTTGGAAACCAATGGACTGACTACAAGAAATTACACTGTCATTTGGAAACCAATGGACTGACTACAAGGAATTACACTGTCATTTGGAAACCAATGGATCAACTACAAGAAATTACATTGTCATTTGGAAACCAATGGATTGACTACAAGAAATTACACTGTCATTTGGAAACCTATGGACCGACTACAAGAAATTACACTGTCATTTGGAAACCAATGGACTGACTACAAGAAATTACACTGTCATTTGGAAACCAATGGACTGACTACAAGAAATTACACTGTCATTTGGAAACCAATGGACTGACTACAAGAAATTACACTGTCATTTGGAAACCAATGGACTGACTACAAGAAATTACACTGTCATTTGGAAACCAATGGACTGACTACAAGAAATTACACTGTCATTTGGAAACCAATGGACTGACTACAAGAAATTACACTGTCATTTGGAAACCAATGGACTGACTACAAGAAATTACACTGTCATTTGGAAACCTATGGACTGACTACAAGAAATTACACTGTCATTTGGGAACCAATGGACTGACTACAAGAAATTACACTGTCATTTGGAAACCTATGGACCGACTACAAGAAATTACACTGTCATTTGGAAACCAATGCATTGACTACAAGAAATTACACTGTCATTTGGAAACCAATGGACTGACTACAAGAAATTACACGGTCATTTGGAAACCAATGGACTGACTACAACAAATAATAACACGTCATTTGGAAACCAATGGATTGACTACAAGAAATTATACTGTCATTTGGAAACCAATGGATTGACTACAAGAAATTACACTGTCATTTGGAAACCAATGGACTGACTACAAGAAATTACACAAGTAAACCCTAACATAAATAGAAGTACAGCTATAGAACTTCTACTGTATCAGGCTCAAGAAGTTAAATAACTTTGTTCATTCCTAATGCATAACTTCAAATGTTTGTCTATTACAGTCTCCCCACCCTCAACAGTAAAGCACCCCGACAGACATTCAATGGTTTATTACATCTACAAATATCAGACAAAATGCTATATTTTAAATACTTTCTGTGTTTTTATAACCTAGAATATACCCAGGAGATGTAGCCTACAACAGTGAGTGAGTGAGTGAGTGAGACAAGTCCATTCAGTACAATGGTCTGGTTATCATCAACAAGGAGTGTCACAGTTCAAGTGATTTACACTTTTATGCTAATTAAACAATCTAATTAGGACCATCCCACTTTTAGCTAATGTTTAAGTTATCAATGTGGCTAAAGATTTATAAAAGTATAAATCCTAACAACTCCTAACAACTCATCTATCTAGTTGAGCTATTTGAAGTAAGAATCGTTACAACTCATCTATCCAGCACCCACTGACCTGAATCCCCTCATCAGCTATAGGGTTCCTGCTGAGGTCAAGGACGTTGAGACTCAGGTTGCGCACCAGCCCCTCTGCGATGAGGTAGCAGCCAGACCAGGTGAGGTTGTTGCTGCGCAGTCTGACCTTCTGCAGGGTGGTGTTGGCGCGCAGCATGTCCTGCAGACACTGGCAGCTGTCGTCTGTCATCTCCAGGAAACTCATGTCCAGGTCCAGCAGGCTGCGGTTGCTGGCCATGGCTGCAGCTATGGCCTTGATGCTGGAGTAGTCCAGGCCACAGGAGGACAGGTTGAGCAGGCGCAGGGACCTTGTCTTGACCAGCAGCTCCGCTATGGCCTGCGCACCAGACAGGTCAATGTTGTTGAGGCGAAGGTCCAGGGAGTGGATTGTTCTGTTTCCTTCCAAAGCTTTACAGATGACTTGGATGTCCTCACCACACAGCTGGGTTTTCCCGATGCGCAGCTCACAAATACAGTTGTGGTTTTTGATGACTTGGGCCAAAGCTTGTGACCTCTGACCTGACAAATTATGACCTGTGACACAAACACTCATCATAATGAGGCCGGGGAAGATCCCGTTCTCCCCGTTCTTGGAAGACTCGCTGTCCCCGCCCTCCAGCAGGGAGTAGGCGGAGTTTCTTGAGGAAGCTTTGCTGAGTCTCTTGTCCGTACTGGCCCGTACCCTCTCCAGCTCCACCAGGGGCTTGAGGGTGTGGTCGGGGGCCAGGTAGCCGATCTCGTAGTTGATGTTCTTCTCATCAGCCAGCACGGGGGTCTCGTAGTGCACGTTGTAGGGGACGTCATGGATGACCCGGTCCATCTCTCTCATCACTTGCAGAACCTGTAACAAAAAATCCACAGATGCCTCTTAAATAAGAGTTGTAAAACTAAGCAGGGAGTGAACTCTCCATTACAGGAAACCTTTACTGATGAAACTGATACACACCAAATCATTTAACTAATGTGTAGCCTACAGAGAACTGACCTCCAACCTTTATAAATGAGACTGATACATATACAAGCATATAACTATAGAGAACTAACCTAGACTGATACATACCCAAACATTTAACTAATATGTAGGCTATAGAGAACTGACCTAGACTGATACATACCCAAACATTTAACTAATATGTAGGCTATAGAGAACTGACCTAGACTGATACATACCCAAACATTTAACTAATGTGTAGCCTATAGAGAACTGACCTCCAGAATCTCCGTACAGTTGCCGGACTGGTTCATGACGTCACAGAAGACAGGCAGCACGTCAGGGGTGCTGTCCCCTATCAGCTGGACCAGGCTCTCACACACAGACTTGCGGTCATGGTGACCCAGGAAAAACTGGACGTCGATGTTGGTCAGCACCCCCAGCCTCTTGAGCTGGTCCAGCAGGGGGTAGGGGTCCAGCCTCTGCCTGAGTAGCTCGGCCACGCTGCTCATGATGTGCTTCTGCCGGCTCATCTCCCCCTTGTCGCTGGACTTTCTCCGAGGGCGACCTGCACGCTTCATTTCTGGTGTTTTGATTTTAGGCTTGCGTTGGATTGAATTGTGAAGAGTGTTTTCTGGAATGGTTTTGATCCTGGAGCCTGCGGGGGTTGAGACTTGTGGACTGATGTGGAAAGACACAGATAAAGGTTCCCTGAAGGAAGCGTCGCAGCTTCCTGTCCTCTCGGACTCGTTCTTGGAGATGTGCTCCAAGAGGTTGTTGTTCTCGTTCATGTCTGAGAGTTTGAGAGTTTTCACGTAGTTGGCCGCCATGACCAGGCTCTGGGACTGGGACGAGTCTGTGGATGAGTTGTGGGACTTGAGCTCAGTCACCTGCTCGCTGTTCATGTAGGTTGGGTCAGTTTCTGTGTCCGTGGAATGTTTGGTAACTGTGGAGGGGGTCCTAGAAATATAGCAAACATTAGTGTGAGTTAAGCAAACTAATGCAACATCAATGAAACAACACTTATTTAACCAAACTGACAGAGGCCAGAACTTGAAATGGAGAAATGTTACCTGAATAAAAACAATCGTGGTGGTTTTGGAGGTGGTACCCCATTGCTGCTAAACCTGGGCACACCTGGAGCTTTCTCTACAACATCTGGTAATGGTCGACAGACTGGTCCTAAGGTGGACAGGGGTCGATGGTCAGCTATCTCAGGGGGGTTCTGTGAGTAAAACATGACTTCAATGTAAGGCCCAGGGTCCAAGCAAAATGTTCAAAGTGATTTGTAAATAGGTTAATCTAGTAAACACACATGTATAACAAAACAAATGTATGAAAATATTTTAATCTTATAAACACCCATGTACACCAAAACACCCATGTGCACCAAAACACCCATGTACACCAAAACACCCATGTACACCAAAACACCCATGTACACCAAAACACCCATGTGCACCAAAACACCCATGTACACCAAAACACCCATGTAAACACTCATGTACACAAAAATACCCATATGCACCAAAACACCCATGTACACCAAAACACCCATGTACACCAAAACACCCATGTGCACCAAAACACCCATGTACACCAAAACACCCATGTGCACCAAAACACCCATGTAAACACTCATGTACACAAAAATACCCATATGCACCAAAACACCCATGTACACCAAAACACCCATGTACACCAAAACACCCATGTGCACCAAAACACCCATATACACCAAAACACACATGAAAATCAAGTGGTCACCACTAACCTGTGACGTGTCAGACTTTTCCAGTAGAACAATAGTTGGCTTCTCCTTACGGCCCAGTGGCTTGTGGTCATGGCGACTACGTCCAGACAGTCGGCGCCAGAACTTCCAGGGCGAGGAACTGGAATCTGTGTGGCATGTTTCTGAAAAGTCAAGGTCAAGGCTCATTACCTGAGGTCAAGACTCAATTCCCGAGGTCAAGGCTCATTACTTGACGTGCAAGCTTTGAATGAGTTAAAGACCATGTGAAACCAAGAGCTGTTGTCGGGGCTGATTACTTGACATGTCAACTTGACACAAATCAGAAAACGTGTGAACTCAGGAGCTGAAGACCTTGACACATCATTTCTTCGGGTGCTGGGTTCAAACCCAACACAGACCAACTAACACATCCAGCTACTGCAGCAGGCATTATGTCTCAACATGTTTCATACACTCAAGTAATACAGCACAAATATACCGTCTGTCAGAGCACAAATATCCGGCCCATTATGCCTACTATTGTTACCGTAATTGAATAAATAAATAAATAAATAGTAACAAAACCTTGCACATGAGTTCTATAAGTCATCATATAACAGGGCCGTATATTATAAAGATAAATAAAAACCTGCTGTACCTGTGGTAAGAAACAAGTGAACAAACATTTGTAACCAAGTTATCCTGCTCCCACTAACCACACCAGTGTAAGTAGAGACAGTGGAGAAATGTTTTATATAGAGGACATAGCGGGCTTGTATGGGCGAAGGACTGGTCCGACTTCATTGTTCCCCCTGCATGAAGTAGATTGTGTTCAAGTGGATTTGACACTGGGTGGCGACATTTTCCCACACTCGTTAGGACTGTCTGACCCATTCATAACTTTCACACTGTGACAGATATAGAAACTGTTGAGTTTCTAGTTCTTGAGCTGGGTTTTTTATACAGGGAGTGACTTGATCTACTTGTAGGGACAACTGGGTTACAATATGTGTAGACCATGTAGGCCATGGCAAGTCTCAAAGATACAGCTAAATAATATTAACGAGTCTTATAAGATAGGTTAACATAAATTCAAGTCTTAAAAAGACAGCTGCTTAAAATGTCAAGTCTCAAAGAGATAACTTAACCTAATGTCAAGTCTCAAAGAGACGGCCTAATACTATTAACAAGTCTTAAAGAGACAGCTTAACACAAAAGTCTTAAAGACAGATAGTTGCCTACAAATATAACAATATCAAGTCTAAGAAAAGTAGAGCGCAACAGTCAAGTCTAAGAAAAGTAGAGCGCAACAGTCAAGTCTAAGAAAAGTAGAGCGCAACAGTCAAGTCTAAGAAAAGTAGAGCGCAACAGTCAAGTCTGAGAAGAGTTGAGCGCAACAGTCAAGTCTGAGAAGAGTTGAGTGCAACAGTCAAGTCTGAGAAGAGTTGAGCGCAACAGTCAAGTCTGAGAAGAGTCTAGTACAACAGTCAATTCTGAGAAGAGTTGAGCGCAACAGTCAAGTCTGAGAAGAGTTGAGCGCAACAGTCAAGTCTGAGAAGAGTTGAGTGCAACAGTCAAGTCTGAGGTTGAGTGCAACAGTCAAGTCTGAGAAGAGTTGAGCGCAACAGTCTGAGAAGAGTTGAGTGCAACAGTCAAGTCTGAGAAGAGTCGAGTGCAACAGTCAAGTCTGATAAGAGTCGAGTGCAACAGTCAAGTCTGAGAAGAGTCTAGTACAACAGTCAATTCTGAGAAGAGTTGAGTGCAACAGTCAAGTCTGAGAAGAGTTGAGTGCAACAGTCAAGTCTAAGAAGAGTTGAGTACAACAGTCAAGTCTGAGAAGAGTTGAGCGCAACAGTCAAGTCTGAGAAGAGTTGAGTACAACAGTCAAGTCTGAGAAGAGTTGAGTACAACAGTCAAGTCTGAGAAGAGTTGAGTGCAACAGTCAAGTCTGAGAAGAGTTGAGTGCAACAGTCAAGTCTGAGAAGAGTTGAGTGCAACAGTCAAGTCTGAGAAGAGTTGAGTGCAACAGTCAAGTCTGAGAAGAGTTGAGTGCAACAGTCAAGTCTGAGAAGAGTTGAGTGCAACAGTCAAGTCTGAGAAGAGTTGAGTGCAACAGTCAAGTCTGAGAAGAGTTGAGTGCAACAGTCAAGTCTGAGAAGAGTTGAGTGCAACAGTCAAGTCTGACATTGAGTGCAACAGTCAAGTCTGAGAAGAGTTGAGTGCAACAGTCAAGTCTGAGAAGAGTTGAGTGCAACAGTCAAGTCTGACATTGAGTGCAACAGTCAAGTCTGAGAAGAGTTGAGTGCAACAGTCAAGTCTGAGAAGAGTTGAGTGCAACAGTCAAGTCTGAGAAGAGTTGAGTGCAACAGTCAAGTCTGACATTGAGTGCAACAGTCAAGTCTGAGAAGAGTTGAGTGCAACAGTCAAGTCTGAGAAGAGTTGAGTGCAACAGTCAAGTCTGAGAAGAGTTGAGTGCAACAGTCAAGTCTGACATTGAGTGCAACAGTCAAGTCTGACATTGAGTGCAACAGTCAAGTCTGAGAAGAGTTGAGTGCAACAGTCAAGTCTGAGAAGAGTTGAGTGCAACAGTCAAGTCTGAGAAGAGTTGAGTGCAACAGTCAAGTCTGAGAAGAGTTGAGTACAACAGTCAAGTTTGACATTGAGTGCAACAGTCAAGTCTGAGAAGAGTTGAGTGCAACAGTCAAGTCTGAGAAGAGTTGAGTGCAACAGTCAAGTCTGAGAAGAGTTGAGTGCAACAGTCAAGTCTGAGAAGAGTTGAGTGCAACAGTCAAGTCTGAGAAGAGACGAGCGCAACAGTCAAGTCTGAGAAGAGTTGAGTGCAACAGTCAAATCTGAGAAGAGTTGAGTGCAACAGTCAAGTCTGAGGTTAAGTGCAACAGTCAAGTCTGACATTGAGTGCAACAGTCAAGTCTGAGGTTGAGTGCAACAGTCACGTCTGAGGTTGAGTGCAACAGTCAAGTCTGAGAAGAGTTGAGCGCAACAGTCAAGTCTGAGAAGAGTTGAGTGCAACCGTCAAGTCTGAGAAGAGTTGAGTGCAACAGTCAAGTCTGAGAAGAGTTGAGTGCAACAGTCAAGTCTGAGGTTGAGTGCAACAGTCAAGTCTGAGGTTGAGTGCAACAGTCAAGTCTGAGAAGAGTTGAGTGCAACAGTCAAGTCTGAGAAGAGTTGAGTACAACAGTCAAGTCTGAGGTTGAGTGCAACAGTCAAGTCTGAGAAGAGTTGAGTGCAACAGTCAAGTCTGAGAAGAGTCGAGTGCAACAGTCAAGTCTGAGGTTGAGTGCAACAGTCAAGTCTGAGAAGAGTTGAGTTCAACAGTCAAGTCTAAGAAGAGTTGAGTGCAACAGTCAAGTCTGAGAAGAGTTGAGCGCAACAGTCAAGTCTGAGAAGAGTTGAGTGCAACAGTCAAGTCTGAGGTTGAGTGCAACAGTCAAGTCTGAGAAGAGTTGAGTGCAACAGTCAAGTCTGAGAAGAGTTGAGTACAACAGTCAAGTCTGAGGTTGAGTACAACAGTCAAGTCTGACATTGAGTGCAACAGTCAAGTCTGAGAAGAGTTGAGTGCAACAGTCAAGTCTGAGAAGAGTCGAGTGCAACAGTCAAGTCTGAGAAGAGTCGAGTGCAACAGTCAAGTCTGAGAAGAGTCTAGTACAACAGTCAATTCTGAGAAGAGTTGAGTGCAACAGTCAAGTCTGAGAAGAGTTGAGTGCAACAGTCAAGTCTAAGAAGAGTTGAGTACAACAGTCAAGTCTGAGAAGAGTTGAGCGCAACAGTCAAGTCTGAGAAGAGTTGAGTACAACAGTCAAGTCTGAGAAGAGTTGAGTGCAACAGTCAAGTCTGAGAAGAGTTGAGCGCAACAGTCAAGTCTGAGAAGAGTTGAGTGCAACAGTCAAGTCTGAGAAGAGTTGAGTGCAACAGTCACGTCTGAGGTTGAGTGCAACAGTCAAGTCTGAGAAGAGTTGAGCGCAACAGTCAAGTCTGAGAAGAGTTGAGTGCAACAGTCAAGTCTGAGGTTGAGTACAACAGTCAAGTCTGAGAAGAGTTGAGTACAACAGTCAAGTCTGAGAAGAGTTGAGTGCAACAGTCAACTCTGAGAAGAGTTGAGTACAACAGTCAAGCCTGAGAAGAGTTGAGCGCAACAGTCAAGTCTGAGAAGAGCTGAGTGCAACAGTCAAGTCTGAGAGCTCACCAGCTATGTCCAGCATCTGTATCCCAGCATGCCCATCCCTCAGGGGACAAGTCTCCTGGGTCGCGGCGTTCCACGAGGACCTGGCACAGAAGGCTCGCTCCACCCCACGGAGAAGGGAGCAGATACTCATTGCCTCAGGTGCTGGGTTCAAACCCAACACAGACCAACTAGCTCATCCAGCTACTGTAGCAGGCATAATGTCTCAACATGTTTCATACACTCAAGTAATACAGCACAAATATACCGTCTGTCAGAGCACAAATATCCGGTCTGTTTGAACACAAATATCCGGCCCATTAAAAATTGTCAGAACACAAATATCCCGTTGTCCAGAAGAGATGAATGTTGTACAGAGCTGAACAATGGACAAAATCCTCACAGTAATCCTCAATTATTGTCTCACTGTTCAAACCAACGTTTCATTACACGCATCACGAGAGCGGTAACTGGGCGCAGTTACAATTATAATAAAACATGGAATGGAATTATGATGACAGCAAAGCATGTAATGGAACATGTCATTTATAATTGAAGGCATGTATAGTAGCTGGAGAAGATAAAATTATCAGCATGTAGGCAATATGAGGAAGGTGAAGGTCAAATATGTAGATAAGCTGCAGGTCATGTAGCAAAGGTGTAGGTCATATAGACAGATACGTGTGTGTTGTTTATTCTAGCTCTAATACAAAACTTAAAGGTGTGATCAGTGTCTTTATGTTGTACTTATGGTGTGTGTGTAATATACTTATAGCAATGCACATTGAATTAGTTGTTATATCTATGTTTTTCGTCTAATTAAAACAGTTTCTGACACAAGCCACTTCAACCCTCAAGGTATTCACAAGATCGCGACCCATATCCAATACAATGCTAGAACACGACATTCTTGTGTTTAAGAAAAAATTCCAGAACATGTTACAATACGAATCACTACACAAATTGAGTAAAACCATCCGGTAAGAAAGTATTGTTAAGACT